ATCGACTATCGATATAGTTGAGGTTAATATGATAGAGCACTATATAGTCTATATATGGACCCAAACCTCCTTTTAATGTCATTCTAGTGTACCACTCCTTTGACAAAAAATGCTAGTGTATCACTGTTACTGTAAAACTGATGCAAAAAATATTATAAGGAATCAAATTTATTAGTAAATAATTAATTAATAGATTGTGTATTTGTGAGATGGGTGGGACACGTGAAGCAAGTGTACGTGCATTTAACTATTTATACATAATAATTTTTTTGGTAACATTTATACATAATAGTTATACATATATAATAGTTATTGTCATCCCTGCTATAATAAGTAAGATTGCAAGATTGCAAGCTTGAAATTAGATTTCATGTGTTCAATTAATTAGGTTGTGTAAGGGGGACACATTTGATTTTCTGGACATAATATAGATTTCTGTCTTTTTTGTTTGTCTAATTTTTGTTGTTGTTTGTCATAAATACTATAGTTTATAGAAACTATAGTTTTTTTTTTTTGGTAGGAACCGCCGGAATATGGAGAATAGCGGCGATTAATGAAGCTGGAGGGTGGAAAGATAGGACCACCGTGGAGGATATGGACCTCGCCGTCCGAGCAAGTCTCCGTGGCTGGAAATTCCTCTATCTCGGCGATCTACAGGTTTCAAATTTACTTTGTTTCTGAATTTTTTTACAAACTAAAACAAATAGTTAGAATAATTTTAAAACAGTACAAAATGTAGTTGGTGCACATTGCACAAGTTACTTATCTTATTAAACTCATGACAGTTGATTCACAAATCCCTTTTTGAACTAAAGATGTTTTGTTAATATTGTGAAAACATTGTTATATATATATGTGATATTTTTTTTGTATTAGGTGAAAAGTGAGCTTCCAAGTACTTTTAGAGCCTTCCGTTTCCAGCAACATAGATGGTCTTGTGGACCTGCAAATCTCTTTAGGAAAATGGCTATGGACATCATCAGAAACAAGGTAATAAATAAAATTATTTTTTTCCTTCTGATAACTCGTTCTTTAACCTGATTGTCACTGATCTGGTGCAGAAAGTTAGATTCTGGAAGAAAGTGTATGTGATCTACAGCTTCTTCTTTGTGAGGAAACTCATTGCACATTGGGTCACATTTTGTTTCTACTGCTTTGTTCTTCCTCTCGCCATTCTTGTTCCTGAAGTTAAGGTTCCCATTTGGGGTTCCGTTTACATCCCTTCCATCATCACTATCCTCAACTCCGTGGGCACTCCCAGGTGAACTTTAGTTTCTTGTACCTCAAATCACTACCTTTGCATTTTGCTAAATTTTTCTTGATTAGGTTACTTGTTTGTCAAGCTAGCTGCCTTTGTAGTTTCTTCATTATAACGAGTCTTCCTTTTTTCTTTCAAAAAGGTCGATTCATCTGCTGTTCTATTGGATTCTATTTGAGAATGTGATGTCGCTGCACCGGACAAAGGCCAGTCTCATTGGTCTGTTTGAGTCAGGTAGAGTTAACGAATGGGTCGTAACTGCTAAGCTTGGAAGCGGCCAAAGTGCTAATGGGAACACGAAAGGGCTTAAAAGGTTCCCTAGAATCTTCAAATTGCCTGATAGGTATGTATACTTACTTTATTAGAAAACTATTATATAGACACACTTGATGGATTATGATTGTAATGTGTCACAGATTGAATACATTGGAGCTAGGATTTGCAGCATTCTTGTTCGTGTGTGGATGCTATGACTATGTGCATGGGAAGAAAAATTACTTCATCTACTTGTTTCTTCAGACAGTGTCTTTCTTCATCAGTGGGATTGGCTGGATCGGGACTTAGAGCATCTACTTGTTACTAATAATGATAAAATTTCACAAATACATATAAAACATGCATTTAATATATTATATTACACACAATATTGTATAATAAAAGATAATATAATTTATATATAGTAAAACTACACATACACACAAATTTTATAGTATACTTAAATTATTTATGTAATTTCATACCACTTGTAAGATACGTAAAGTTTTAAGTGTTTATGTAATATACTTTAATTTGCGCTAAGTTTTTTAAATGTATTTTTATTTTGTGTGAGATTTCTTTAATGTATTTTTGCGTGAACTTTATTTTAATGGTTAAAAGTTTTTGAGAAAAGGTTTTATTTACTATTTTAAAAAAAAAAATTGACGAAAGATATCTAAATAATAACTAGATTGATTCAAAGAAACTTGGTGATCATAAGTTGTAATTTTTTTTCCTAGTTTCAGTCTTGAATTTTTCAGTTCGAAATTTTGGATAATGTGCCCAAGACTAGATGCAACTGTTGACATTTTTATTGATTTATTATTAATAGATAATATTCAATCTGCTCTCTAAAGTAAGATTTTTTAGAGTATTCATGCTTATGAAAAACTAAGGTTTACAATTTAATTTATTATTTATTTTTCTATATATTTTCCAATAACTATTCACCAATAAATTTAACCAATTAAAATATTTTCAGTTAATGTTTTCGAAAAATATATGAAGATACTTTAAAATTTTATAAAAGATATCTTTCTGAAACAAGAAAAAATATCTAGAAAATCTTATCTTCCAAAATGGAGTGAGTGTAAAAAAGTGATTAGAAATGAGGTTGCTCTTAAAAAGATCTAAAAGAAACCACTTTGATAAAAAAAAAAAAAAAAAAAAAAAACCTTTGAGCCCAAGCTGCAGGCAATTACACCTTTCAAAACCCTAAACAAGTCAGGTGATTTCATCATCACCCCTCCCATTCTTCTCACTTAGTTTAAATGCCAAAAAACTGAAAAATCCCTAAACCAGGAGTTAAAATTCGAACAAAACAAAAAATTATTCGGAAAATTTGATATTTTTATTTATGAATTATATTTTATATAGATTAAAATTAAAAATAATTAATATATTATTATATTTAGAATATTAGGATACCTCAATTCTTGGTTTGGTTCTTCGGATTCGGTTTTTCGGGTTAATTTCTTTCCGGTTTTGGTTTTGAGTTTTTTCGTTCGGTTATGGTTCAGAAGTTTATGGATTTTTTGGAAAGTATGTCCAGGACTAGACGCAACTGTTGACATTTTATAGATTTTTATTATTAATAGTTAATACTCCCTCCGTTTCACCAAAAAGATTTAACCAATTTAAATATTCTCAATTAATGTTTCTTAAAAATATATAAATTATCTTAAAAATATTTATCTTTGTGAAATAAGGAAAAAATCAAGAAAATGTTATCTTCTAGATTGGAGTGATTACAAAAAAAAAAGTGGTTAAAAGTTTTTAGACCGATGAAGTTGCTCTTAAAAAGATCTAAAAGAAAAACTTTGATAACAAAAATACCTTAGAACTCAAGCTGCCGGCGATTAAACCTTTCAAAACCCTAAACAAGTCAGTTGATTTCATCATCACCCCCTCCCATTCTTCTCACTTAGAAACCCTAACACCGTTTTCTTTATTCTTGTATGCATGCTTAAATCTCTGTAAACTTTTTCAATTTTCTCGACCAGATCTTATGGAGGAACGCTTTTCGAAAGAGCAACGAAAGTACGTCGAAAGTTACATAAGGGCTAGAGAGGATATGATAAGCAAATTGCCCGATTCTTTGTTATGTCAAATACTCTCCTACCTTCCGACAAAGGATACTGTCAGGACTAGTGTTCTGTCCCAAAGGTGGAAAACCGTTTGGCTTTTGGTTCCTACATTGGATTTGACCTCTTCTGACTTTCCATATTACAATACCTTTGTCAGTTTCATAAACAGGCTCCTAGATTTCTCTAGAGAAGAGAACTCAATCTTGTACAAGGTCAAGCTAAGTATTCAAAAAGATGAGAATGATGATCAGTCTTGCGTCACACGGTGGATAGATTTTGTAGTTAGCCCTAAACTAAACCATCTTGATGTTGAGTGTATTCTTGTGAACCGTAAGTGTCTAGAGGTGATCCCTCAAAGCCTTTATAATATATGTGACACGCTGGTGCATCTAAGACTCCATCGGTTATCTTTGTGTGAGATTGAGTCTGTGTCTTTGCCTTGTCTCAAGACCATGCGGTTAGAACACAATGTCTACGCTAGTGATGCGAGTCTTGAGTTACTTATCTCGTCTTGCCCTCTTCTTGAAGATTTGAGCATTGTTAGAATGGTACCAGATAACGTAAAGCTTTTACGTGTGATCTCTCAGACGTTGACAAGCTTTCATGTAGACTATTTGTATGGTGAAGGAGATGGGTTTGTTGATGTGTTTGAGAAAGAAGGCTCAGGGGTTTTCATTGATGCCCCAAGACTCAAGTACTTGAAGTTCGAAGATGATCTATCGGATAGTAAAATCATTACCAATTCAGGGTCCTTAGAGAAAGTCAATGTTGCTTATGTCTTTGGTGAGAATGATTTTGCCCATGTTGTTGACTTGCCAAAGCGCAATATGGTTCGTGATTTTTTCACCAGCATTTCAGGAGTTAGGGAAATTAAGATCTCTTTGTATACTATGGAGGTAATGTATATACAGCATTGATTTTTCATGTACCGGTCTTGAGATTTACGGGGCCATATGCGATTTGTTAAATAATTCAACTAAATTTTTTTTTAAAAAAATGCGAGTTATGTTTATGTAATTTTTTAAAAAACATCGGAGCATAGAGCTAATGTTTCATTAGGTTTGACTTAAGACCGGCCCTGGTGATGTAGCTATTGCGTAGTGGTTCTTACTTGCTCACTCTTTGTTTCTTTTTTTTTTGGTGAGCAGTTTCTTGACTATAACAGGGAATACGAGTCATACGACCCATTGCCCTATTTTTGCAACGTTTCAACCTTAAAAGTAACGTTTTCTGTATTGAATCTGGATATGATGCCAACCCTTCTTGAGAGCTTTCCGAATCTAAAATCGCTCGTCTTAAGTCTGGTAATGCACAAACCATCAAGGAACGGTGTTAGCTTATATATTCATTCACCATTTGTGTTTTTCTCTGATATGTTACGTTTTGGTTTATAGGATTCAATGGAGAAAGCGGAGGAGGATGTAAGACTCTCATCTATACTACCTCCTATGTGTTTGCTGTCATCACTAGAGTTTGTAAAGCTAAAGCGTTTCAACGGAGGGACTGTTAATATGGAAATAGCTAGGTACTTTGTGGAAAACTCACAAGTCCTCAAGAAACTTGTTTTGGATTTTAGATGTTCAGTGTTTGAACAAGGGTTTTACATGTTGAGGGATCTCCTTGCATTGCCCAGGAGATCTAGCTCGTGTCAAATCCTAGTTCGTTGATGGCTATAAAGGTGTATGATCAGGAGTGTAGCATTTCATGTTTGGTTTGTTAGACTAAATTTGGAGTTTGATTTATCTTTTTTTTTGGGTTGAAAATTCTGTTATGATGTCTGTGTGTGGATGATGAGTGAGAATTCTATAAACTGTAAGGCTAATTTTTTGTCTTGTATTTATAAAGATGAGAATGATCGGCTAATTTATTTTCTTGTATTTATAAAGATGAGAATGATCAGTCTTGTGTTTTGAACAAAAAAATAAAAATAAAAATAAAGATCAGTCTTGTGTCATCCATTGGATAGACTTTGTAACTTGAGCATCTTGATGTTGAGTGTGGTCTTGTAAATCTTGAGAGCGTTTGATGTTTGTGATTCCCCTGTGGTGAATCTCCTTTGGTTGTTTAAGCTCCCCATTACACACCAAAGACTGTTGTTAGATATGCTGGGTTCTAGAGTCAACTATTTGTATTAAAATATATTCAGTCAACAAATTTCATAATAAGCAAATTAGATTTCATCCACTAAGTTTCATAATCATCTTCATGGAAACGCTCTGTTTCTTGTAAAGTTGTTTAGGTTAGAAGTGACTTCTCAGACTATGATTATTTCATGAACGCAATCCAAGTTTACCATCTCAAATACTTAATTCCATAAGATTAAAATTGCGATAACATAAAATAGCATTCTCACCAAAGGAGATAAAATCTCTTAAGATAAACATAAAATAAAACCGGTCTCTTTCATCTTAGATACTAAAAAACCAAAAACATCTCCTTGCTCCCACTTCACTCTTAAGCTCTGCCCTTTCCTTTTCCCTTGTTGCTCTTGTTGTTAGAACCGAACTGCTTGCCTGAGTTGTTGAATGGCCTGCACATCATCCATTAACCATCATTATCATCTTCATCCAAAAAAAAAGAATTGCATTATCACATCATGAACGCAAGAGAGAGAGACTCACTTCTTGTTACCACCGGATGATTGACCACCAGATTTTGGGCTCTGGTTAGCATTCATTGGACTCTTTCCACCACCCTTTTTAGCTGGGTGTGGTGTAGCTGTGTGCCCTCCCTTCTTCTTCTCCTCTGCAACAAAGATAAAACACATTGAGTTTCTTCTTAAGCCACATAAGCATGTTTTCATCCAACACAATGAATAAGAATAGTTTTCTGATCATTCACCTGTCTTCTGAGGGGTAGAAGCTACTGCTGGCTTTGCCTTCTTAGCAGAGACAGGTGTTGAAGATTCAATCTGCCTCTTCTTGTTGCTTGTTGGCTCAGGCTTCTTAGGGGTATCCTCCTCCTCTTCCTCAGAATCATCTTCCTCATCATCTGAATCATCCTCATCAACATCCATCTACAGAGAAAAACATTAGTCACTATAAAACAACACCAACCTAGTAAAAAACAAGTCATCAAAAACACTCACTCCTTTCTCAGAGTCGGAATCATCCTCCTCATCAGAGTCTTCCTCCTCGTCAGACTCATCCTCATCTGATTCAGGCTTCACTTCAGCAGGCTTTGGTTTAGAGACAGCCTTGGCAACACTTGAAGCAGCAGCTTTTCCATTGGAAGAGACAGTAGGGACAGTTGCAGCTGCAGGAACCTCTACTTCCTCCTCTTCTTCTGAATCAGAAGGGTAATCCTCCTCTTCCTCAAGGTTGGGAGATTTGTATCCAATGAAGTGGACGCTTGATTTCGAAGTGTGGGAGAGTTCAAACTCCTTCTCGAATACCAAATCAAAGCTGATCTGGGGGATGTTGTCCTGAGAAAGTGTTCCAATCACAAGCTTCTTCCCATCAACCGTTACATACAACAAAGCAGTTTCACCCTTCTTCCCTTTGTCAAGAGATGCCTGTGAAACGTGGATGAGAGAGTCCTCATCAGGTTTCACTTTAAGTGGCTTCCCTGCCTGAACCTCAGCACCTGTGAACATAATCGAATGATAAAACCAACATCAATACACAGAACAACAACAACTTGTTACTTCACAAGGACAAGCTCATAGTAGAATTATCAGACACCGAACATATACATAAACAAGGTTTTTAACCAAACATACACAAACGAAGTACACATGGTTCAACAGGTTTATATCAAAACATAAACTAAAGCTAGCCCAGAACACACATAAACTAAGCTAATCACAGAACACATGGTTCAAAAGGTTATGACCAAATATAAACTAAAGCTAAACACAGAAAACATGGTTCAACAGGTTATACAACCAAACATAAACTAAAGCTAAACACAGAACACATGGCTCAACAGGTTATAACCGAACATAAACTAAAGCTAAACACAGAACACATGGCTCAAAAACGTTATAACCGAACATAAACTAAAGCTAAAAACAGAAGACATGGTTCAGAAGGTTGTAACCGAACATAAGCTAAAGCTAAACCCAGAACATATGGTTCAAAAGATTATAATAAAAGCTAACACAGAACACATGGTTCAAGAGGTTATAACCCAACATAAACTAAGCTAAAAGACCAATAGAAGCCAAGGTAAGAACTGTCTTTACCCCAGAATTCCATTTGATGTTGAAGGAGGAAGAGAGATTCGAGAGAGGTGAAGAAGTTTAGGGCTGCGAATTAGAATGTTGTGAAAGAGAGAGAGGTTTTGGGGTCAATTTATAATAGGAGGAGGTTTTACAAGTGCCTCTCTTTAGGGTTTTTGCTGAGTGCTCTACGGCGCCGTTTTAGGTTAAAGCGTAACGCTCGACTAATAATTGGAACTTTTTTTTTTGCTTAAAAATAATAATTGGAATATTGCGTAATAATTATTTAAAAAACGTGTTTTTTGAGAAAATTCACATTTTAGATATTTTATTTACATATTTTGGTTAATATTCATAACTGGTATAAAGAAAACTTAACTGTTTTAGAGATCATTGTTATAAATTAAAGATTATGAGAAGGATTTCTAAAAGAAGAAAAATATCTTCAGTTTTTATTTTTTAAACAATTGTAATAAATATTTGTATTAGATCAATAACAAATACAACACAAAAATTTCAAAAGACCTTTTCAACCGCCTAAGAAGTAGAATAAACTCAAAACTAAAAGCTACGGAAGAAGACACTCAAGACAAAACAGAGGAGTCTCTGCATCAGATTGAAACACTTTGTCTGAACCTGAAGCGACAAAACCTTGTCTATTTCCCCAACCGGTGTAGTCCCGAGCCAACATTGATCTTGTTTTCCGAAGAAGCTGAGGTCTGAGCTGCTACCAATAGCTTCCCAAAGTAGAATCTAATATAGAAGCTAATTTTGATAAAATGAGCAATTCTTCTCACTACTTACATATGAGATGCGTTCGTTAACTTCGTAGACACCACCACACGGTCCACACCCATGCATTCTACCATGACAAGCATAGTGATATGAAGGCCCATGTCGGAGGTTGGGATATTATGGGCTTGGTCAAGAATATCTTTTAATGAGTAGTATATAGGCAGGCATGTGTGAGCTTGAGAGAGAGAATTATCAAGAGTTGATAATTCATGTGTCATGGGAAGATGAAAGACCTCTTGTAAAATATTGTACTCTTTTAACTCAGTAATCTCAAATAACACCATTTCATCAATAATGGTTTCAACAAAACTTTCACATATTTGAGAATCTATAAATGTACACTTTTTTAAAAAAAATTGGGAGGTAAAAGGCGAATGTTTCATTCGGTTTTCACATCCTAATTCGATCGGTCCTGATTCTTGTTATACTAAAGTTAAAATGTAAATTATAGAAAAAAAATAATTTGACACGAGTCATGATACTATTTTTTTCATATTACACATGAAATATATGTAAATAAACTAGTCAATATTTGACAAAAAAAAAAAAAAAAACTAGTCAATAAAATTAGTTTGACGTAGCTGGTAGATAAACACAAAATATAGCATCAATAGTAAAACGATAGCTGTGTTTCGTCGCTAGGGGATGCCAAAAAGGGAAGTAAACGGTGAATCTCACCTGCAATATCAAAATACAAAATCGAATGAACTAATGACAAAGGTTACTTTGTTACCAACAAAACAAGAGTCATATCAAGGGCAAAAATCAATGTATCAGGTGTAAACTAACTTACCAATAAACAGCACCACGTTTTTTCTTAACCGAGGAGGAGTTGTTGACGGGGTTCATGTAATCATAGGATAGAAACATTTGACAGAGTTCACACCCATAAAAGTCAGTAAAGCCATAGTACTCCTCTCTATCACTAGCCATCGTCACCTCAAGCTCTCTTCCTCCCATGTAACTTCCATTTAGTTCTAACGCCTTCTCATTGCCTTCACCATTTCTCAGATCAATGAAAGCAAACCCTAAGGGAAGACGGTTTCTACACTCTATAGGAACATAAACCCTTGTGACCTCTCCACAAGAACTGAAAAAGTTACTCAGTGCATTCTTTATCTCATCCTTAGGTCGCAGATTTTCAAATCCTTTAACGAATATGGTTCGGTCATTGTTTCCCCTCGCTTCTTTACATCCGAAACAGCAAGAAGATTCTTCCTCCTTTTTCTTTGGGGTTTCTTTCTCCTATAGACAAATTAAACACATCAGCTTTATAAATTTTGTTAAGCATATGAACCAAATCCTTGTAAACACTTAAATGAAACCTCTGGTGGATCGGCTCTTGTCAATAGAATCTGTTGCAGCGTTTTCACAGCTTCAGACAGCTCTTTGATAGATTTATTCATTTCTTTGATTTCCTGCCATTGGGTTAAAAAGTAAAGAATAAGAATACTGGTAAAACCATATCAAAACAAAGGTTCAGCTAAAACCTCACAAAGAATCTGAAGTGATTGTACTGTCTTAATAGGCAGTTTTTATTTTAATAAACAAGTAATTAAAGGGAATACACTAGGAAAGCATCTAACCTCAGAATTATCATTTTGTATCTTCTGCTTCTTCAGATTTGTTTTGCTCTGTAAACAAGGTTGTAACACGCTCTTACCTAATAGAGAGACAGACAAAAACTATATCAAAAACAACATTAGCCATTCAAAAACATTATGTATGTTTACTCATTGTTACAAGTTCTATTAAAGACTATATGTGCCCCTCATCATTCTGATAATTTTTCATAGTTTAATGATTATCAAGAATAAAAGCGACGAAGTAAGAAGTTTATATCTTTCACCTGTATTATTGAAGGAGACATGCATTTTGGAAGATTCATTAGCCCTCTTCTTCTTGGTGCGCTGGTGGCCAATGAAATGCACATATCCTCTCTCCAAGCTGTGGGAGAGCTCAAATTCTTTGTCAAAGAGGAGATGATCAAAGTTGATGTGAGGGAAGCTATCTTGAGAGAGTGTCCCAAGGAGGAGTTTCTTGTCATCAATGGTGGCATACAAGTGGCCCGATACTCCCTTTTTCGATTTACCAAGGGAAGCCTATAGATATAGGGAGGAAGGGTAAAAACTCAAGAGATTTGTAATAATTAACTTTAGAATTTGTAAAATTTGTAATGAGTAATTGAAATTAACCTGAGAGATGTGGATGAGGCAGTTTTCACCAGGCTTCACTTTAAGAGTCTTACCGGCCTTAACTTTAGCTCCTGGTTACATTCCACAAAAAATAAAATAAAATAAAAAATCAACTACACAGAAAAGACAAAGCTACCAGGCACAAACAGAATCGAAAATTAGGGCGGGAAAGATGTAAACAGGTTGGTTGGGCTTTAAATCGAGCATTAAACATGGACAAGGACAACTAAAAAGCCTAAGACAATGTCTAAACAGATTCTATCGTTCATACTACCAAAAAAAACAAACAGCAGAGGAACACCAAACATATGAGAAGTTTGTCTTTACCCCAGAACTCCATTGTCGGAGTGCGAGAGGAAGAGAATTTTGAGACAGAGAAAAAGGGAGTTTAGGTTTTCAGCTAAGTGGGAACGAGGAAGAAGAGAGTAGATCTCCTTAGGGATTTTGCTCTTTTGGTTAGGTAGTCTATACGGCGGCGTTTAGGTGTTCAAAAAAAAAAAGTTAGTCTATACGACGACGTTTAGTTTTGCGTTTTGTAAAACTCAGATTTGGCTTGAGTTGGTTTATTTCGGGTCCGGTTTTTTAGATCGTAGATGTTTGAAATTGTTTTTATTCAGGCTCAAACCGGATTGAGCCAGTTCTTTTCGTATTTGGACCCGTTCATGTATATAATTAAAGGGATAAGCTCATCATGTTACACTAACAATAAGTTTATTACGGCTAGGTAAGTAACTGATCTCCCTTCATGTATTGTTCCTTTGCTGGAGCAAGATAGTGTAAGCATTCAGAGTTCTTAATCATAAGCATTTTAGAACATGTATGTATATATCACTTAAGTGTTTTGAAGTTGACGGTGAGCCATGAAAGGTGTTTCTCATATTTTCATTTTTCATTACAATAGATCTTCACCATTAAAACAACTAGAATGGATAATCATTTCCATTTTTGAAAACAACAAAAAGATGGATAAGTTAACAGCTCTACCTCTAACCTTCAGATTCCATTAAAGCTTTAAAAACTCTACCTCTTGGATTAACACTCTCAACACAGATTTCTTCGCCTCCCATGATAGTTGAATCCATGCTTAACACCATTTCTTCAGATGTTGTGTCCATGACTATGTAACCAAACCTACTGGGAAGAAAAAACAGTCAGTTGCAACTATCTATGGAAACAAAATTTCTTCAGATTTCTACACATACCCTAGCAAATGTTCTTGCTCTTTAGGCAAAACTATCTTCTTCAGTGCTCCACATGCTTTAAATTTTTCCCCTATTTGTCGCTTAAGATCATCTTCACTCCGATCACGGTTGAATCCAGAGACGAAAAACACACGTAAGCTGTGTCCACCACCATTATAAACGTAGTTATATAATTAAGATGTTTAAATAAAAAAATCAAAACAAAAATTAGATACCTGCCAAGTGTTCTTTCACAGAAAATACGAGACTCGCCCATTAGATGACCATTCAATTTTCTTGCCAGTTTTAGTTCCTGATTAGACCGGAACTCGATATGAGCTTCAAGCTCTGGCATATTACTCTCCTCATTCACCGTCGATACCAGCATAATATTATTGTTACGAACTTGCACGTTGCAATTATCTTGGATGAATTTTGTACTGCAAAAAATGTAGTAAATTTGTAAGATCAGAAAATATATGATACTGCATATGTATATATATCCAATTTAGACTTACATGTCAGCTCTGGTAGAATTAATGTCGATATTACTCATAATCAGGAGAGTGGGCTAGAAAAGAGAAAGAAAGAAAAATTAATAAAATTTACGACAATAAGTCGAAAACAAAATTAGGAAACTAACCGACAGAAATTCCTCATCTGAATCTGTTAAGACAGGATCTTCGCGAGGATAAGAGGGAACTGTTGTTAGAGCTTTTGTACATTTCTATATTAAGGGAAAAGTCTAACATTAAATAACTACATCAATACTATTAAACCATACTATTAAACCATAAGATCAGAATAAAGAAACATATAGTATACCTCTGGTACCGATTTCTCTAGATCCTCTTTTGTTAGTAAGAGATTATCTGGATCACTAGGATACATCAAATCCTTCATTGTTTTTGCAGAGTGGACCATCTCTACAAATGCCTCCTCATCATCATCATCATCTGAAGCACTAGGCTTGGACTTTGTGGAGACTTTGGATTTGTATCCAGTGAAATGGACAGATCCTCTGTCCAAGCTGTGGGAGAGCTCGAATTCTCTGTCGAAGAGGAGATGATCAAAGCTGATGTCTTGAGAGAGTGTTCCAAGGAGGAGTTTCTTGTCATCAATGGTGGCATACAAGTGGGCTGATACTCCCTTTTTCGCTTTACCGAGACAAGCCTATATAGAACAATGGCAAAAATCAAGAGACTTGTACAAACTTTAGAATCGGTAACTAGTAAATGAAATTAACCTTAGAAATGTGGATGAGACAGTTTTCACCAGGATTCACTTTGAGAGTCTTGCCGGCTTTAACTTTAGCTCCTGGTTACATCCCAAAAGAAACCAACATCAACACACCAGAATAAACAGAATAAAAAACTATGCAAAAAGGTTGGTTGGGTTTTGAAATAGATTAGACATAAAATGAGCATCAACACCGTAAACTTGGAGAGGGTCTAAGACAATGTCTAAACAGATTCTATTGTTCATACTGACAAAAACAAAAAAACACCAAACATATGAGACAAAAGATGAAATTTTTGATGAAGATGGGTTGATACAAGACCAGATAAGACATAGATAGAAGTTTATTTCGTTACCCCAGAACTCCATTGTCGGAGAGATTTGAGAGAGAGAGAGAAAGGGCTTTTAGGGTTTATGCCAAGTGGAAAAGAGGAAGAAGAGGGTCCTGTCTCTTTACCCCATATATTTGTCGTTGTTCGACTTGAGTTTTTTGATAGCTAAGCGAACCTAAACCGAATGGTTTGAGACTTTAGACAACTTCATTTTCATTTTGGTTGCATTCGGTGTGTTCGATCATATTTCTAAAGTTTAGACAAACAATATAATAGTATCTGATTAGTGTATTTAGCTAAACTTGCCGTTCTCTTTTTAATTGCAGGAAACTGATTAAAAGAACTTGTAAATGTGACTAAGTTGACTGATTACAACATTTAAACAACTATAAAGTAGTTAAACAAAATAAGTAGACTGTGTCACTCCAGTCTAAAATAGATATAGATAAATTAAGGTCTTCACCGTCGATCAGTTACGGACCTAAGGTCTTCACCGTTGATCTACAACACCAAAACAAAATTAGATATATTATCTAATAATTTATTTTAGAGATATATAAATACATATATACCTGCTATGGTTAGAGTCTCATCTCAGTAGCTTCACGAATTAGTCCCTCATGGCGAGCCAGTTTATCAAACCCACAATCTCTCCATAACGCCCCACGAGATTCATAAATGTCCCAAAAGTGTTTAGGTTCTCCATTGACTAACTGAATCCCACTCCCCATCACCAACCCAACATGCCTACTACTCTGCTCATAGGGGTTTCTAAGACGCTCGGTCAATGTTGGAGATAGAATCCTTGCCTGAGAAAAATAAATAAATAACTGTTTTTCACAAGAAAAAATAAATATTCGATATACTAAAACTTACTTCACCAGTACGGTAACTTGGGAAGTAATCAAATGATGCGGCCACTGGTCCTTTTAATAGAAGATGTTCAATTAATCGCTCAAACTTCTCATCTTCGGAATCTCCTGACGGCTTCACATGAATAAACATTTCATCCACATAATGTTCATTTTTCATGAACTCCACAGCAGATTCTAAATTTCTTAATTGGCCATCACCAGTCCGATAGCGGAAAGAAACTCCACTCATGAGTTTATCCAGTGTTAATTTTGGTCGATAAGCTCCTTTTAATTTCGCCATTGTGGACCATTGTCTATAGAAAGCAATGGCCCAACAGTTCCCTATAAAATAAAATTTTGATAATTTTAACTACAAGCTGCTTTTAAAATCTAAACCAAAAACAAAAAAATGAACTCCTTAAATAACTCTTACAAGATATATGATATAAGAAAAATGTTTGAAAACGATATAAGATATATTTCTAACATTGCTCTTCACAATTTGAGTGATATACATAATAATACTATTAAAAGTTATTATACCTTGAGTTTGGGTATACTGTGGGGGAATGTTATCAGGTCGCGTATCCCTCCAAGAATCTCTTTTTAATGGCCATCTAGAAACTGTTGTTCTCTGTGACAAAACAAAAAAAAACAAGGAAAGACATTTAACACAGTCAATCAACAAGCAAATAAGTTTCATAAGCTTCATTTACAAAAAAAAAAAAAAACAATATTTACCGCCCATTTGTCAAATATCGCAGGGATATCCTTCTTTGTTGGAAAGGACTTGAGAAGAAGTACTAAATCTTGACAAATCTTTGTTATCTCTTCAAAAGAACTCTCTGTGTTGAGCTTTGACTTCTTGACGGAAACATGCATTTTGGAAGATTCATTAGCCCTCTTTTTCTTGTTGCGCAGCTCTTGGTGGCCAATGAAATTGACGGATCCTCTGTCCAAGCTGTGGGAGAGCTCAAACTCTCTGTCAAAGAGGAGATGATCAAAGCTGATGTCTTTAGAGACGGTTCCAATGAGGAGTTTCTTGTCATCAACGGTGGCATACAAGAGGGCAGATATTCCGTTTTTCGCTCTACTAAGAGAAGCCTATAGAGCAAGGGCAAAAGTCAAAAGACGTGTATAAATCCGGTAACCTGAGAAATGTAAATATTAACCTGAGAGATGTGGATGAGGCAGTTTTCACCAGGCTTCACTTTAAGAGTCTTACCTGCCTTAACTTTAGCTCCTGGTTACATTCCAAAAAGGAAAAAAAAAATCAACACAGGATAAACTGCAAAAAGACAAGCTTTCCGACATAAACAGAATCCAAAACTAGCGCAAGATTCGGACAGATTTTTTCGGGTTTTGAAATGGATTGACTTTAAAACGAGCATAAATATTGTAAACTAGAGAGCCTAAGCCAGTGTCTAAACATATGAGACAAAGATAGAAACTAGAGGAACACGAAGCATTATGAGACAAAAAGATAGAAACTTTGATGAAGATGAGTTGATACAAAGCCGAGATAAGACATAGAGAAAGAAGTTTGTCTTTACCCCAGAACTCCATTGTTGGAGTAGACGAGAGGAAGACGAGAGATTTGAGAGAAAAGGCAGCTTAGGGTTTCTGCCAAGTGGGAAAGAGGCAGAAGAGAGTCTGGTCTCCTTATGGGTGTTTTGCTGTTTTGGTTGTTTATACGGCGTCGTTTAGTTGGTCTATACGACGCTGCTGTTTTATGTTTTCACTTGCGCTTTGGAAACCTCAGATCATTTAAATTACACAACCTAAATTTGGCAAAAAGAAAAGAGAAATTAAAATATTATGATACTCATAATCTTCGTCATTAGGACCTAGAAGCAGCAACAAAATTCAGATTTCAATATTTTTATTAGACAAATACAATACAACAAAATTTCAGAAGAAACAGAATTAAAGCTAAAACTAAGACACAAGACAAACTCTTAAGTCTCTGCTAATATATTTCAACATTTTGCCTCAACGTGAAGACTCTAATATGAGTAATTCTAATAAATATTGGTGAGGGTAAAAAAGCTAAAACATACCAACCATAAATTTCATGCCATTAAATTAGTTGCATTGTTACCAAAGGTTATAACTAGGACATAAAACTTTAAAAGGACAAGCTAAGAGACTATTAGTTAATGTGGACGTTGTAGGCCATCACACTGTCAGGAGAATCTCTGAAAGTTGTAGGTCAGTCTTGTCCTAATCTGAAGACAATGAAGCTAAACTGCATGGGTGACATTCGTCTCCCGTGACCGAGAATGACGATGATGCTCTGGCTATAGCTGAACAATGCCTGGACTTCCCAACCTCCAGCTTTTCGGTAACAAATTAACAGACACCGGTTTAAACGCCATTCTTGATCACAAAAAAAAAAAAAAACGGTCTAAAACATACCAAACATAAATTTCATGCAATTAGCCATTCACATATGAAGATTTTCCTCCCCACCCACATATTTACAACACTAATGAGATTTTCAACAAAATAAAAACTGTAACCTTAACCGGAATCAAAATAAAACCTAAGAACTGTAGTTAACCGGGATCAAAATAAAAACTGAAACCAACTGCTTGACCAAGATATACACCAAGTCGGCAAATCCCAAGTGCATGGCTCATTCACACTCACCATCTACCATACTGTGATTGATCGCTCTTTCTCCGACTTACCTACCACCCCACTCCACTCCTGATTTCGACATTTGTCTCTCTTCTTTGTTCAACTTTCGCCATTTGTATTAATTTAGTGATCCATTAATAAGATAAACACAATATATAAACTTAATACTCACTTATTTTAATAAGAGAACATTTACATTACCAAATTAAAAAAAAATTGTACAATATCTTAGTTTATACAGTAGTTAGACATTAAACACACCAACAAGATACATCAATCTAAAAATTCAAAAAAAAAATATTGTTATTTAACATCATCATCATCAATACCCAAGCTTTTGAGATAGAGTTGCCACAAGATCTTCTCGAGCTTTCTCCAATGCACTCGAGAGATTTTCAGGCTTTCTGCCACCTGCTTGAGCAAATTGAGGCTTTCCACCACCTCCTCCTCCACACAACTTAGCTATGGAACCAATACACTTCCCTGCCTGAAGTCCTAGAGACACTACTCCAGGACTGAATGCAGCCACTAAACTGACCTTGTCTTTGTCTGGACATGATCCTAGTACCACAGCCACTGGTTCTTCAAGCGTGCTTACCAGATGTTCGGCTGCACTCTTTAAAGAGTCAGCATCTGTGTCATCCATTGACTCAACCAGCACTCTACAAGAAATTAAAACATTTACAGGAAAATATAGTTGAAACTATAAAACATTTACAGGAAAATATATTTCATTACCTTATTGTCTGTTTGGTTCCTATAGTAAATGCTTCGTTGGATATGACAGATGCTCTATAGACCGCTGCTTTTGAGCGCAAGTCTGAAGCTTCTTTTCTAGCAGTACGCAGTTCCTCTAGAAGATTCTCAACTCTGTTTGTAACATCCTCTGCTTTTACCTTCAAGATTAAACCAAACAAACAGTTAGTTAAAGTCCACATGTCATCTACTAACTTGTTTGTTATATCTTCAAAACATGGAAAAGGAAAACTCTCTCTAGAAGCAGAATACCTTTAGAGTGGAGCATAGACGTTTCATTTGAGAGTCTCGTGAGTTTATGTATTCAATGCATGCTTCACCTGCAACTGCTTCTATACGCCTGGTTCCAGATGCAATGCCCTGTTCTGAGATAATCTTGAAGGCTCGTATCTCTGCAGTGTTTCCAACATGAGTGCCACCACACAGTTCCTTGGAGACACCAGGAACTTCCACTACACGAACCTGAGATTTATGTTAAAGCCAAATCAACTTCTGCATCAAATGAAACACTTCATACTAATGTGGTTCTCACAATGTGACTAGTGTCTTGAGTTACCTCGTCATTATATTTTTCACCAAACATTGCAATGGCTCCAGCTTGTTTTGCATCAGCAAGAGGAAGGACTTTTGTTTCAAGACGTGTAGCATCCCCAATCCACCTATTGATCAGGCCTTCTATTTCCTCAAGCTCACCTTCATGTAGAGGCCGGTTAAAGTTGAAATCGAACCGGAGACGGTCGAAAGCTACTAATGAACCAGCCTGTGACGTTTCTTGTCCTACTACTTTCTTAAGTGCAGACTGCAGCAAATGTGTAGCCGTATGATGAACCTGAAAAGTTGGCAAAAACAAAAGATCAATAACAATAACTTGAAGGGATGCAAGATGAAGTTCAAACGCACCTTTGCTCGTTGTCTTAGGTCTGCATCAACAGCTGCTTCCACCTCCTTACCAACTTCCAAAGCTCCACTTTTCACTACACCCTTGTGAACAAAAATCTTAAGAGACTTCTGCACATCACTCACTTCAACAACAGCAACATCTTCTTGGCTCCCATTAACAAACAGAAACCCATGATCTGCAATCTGCCCTCCTGATTCAGCATAGAACGGAGTTCTATCGAGCAGAATCTCCACCTCACTGCCTTCAGAAACCCTTACCACAGACTTCCCACCCACCAAAAGACTCTTCACAACGGCACGAGCAGAGAGACTGTCATACCCAAGAAACTCAGTGTCTGCAATGTCTTTAGTGATGTCATCTCCATCTTCAACACTCAGTTTCACAACATTGTGAGCAGCTTGTGACTGACGTCTTTGATTCTCCATCTCCGCTTCGAAACCATCCATATCTATACTCACTCCACGCTCTTCAGCAACTTCTGCTGTTATCTCCACAGGAAAACCGTATGTGTCAGACAGAATAAACGCGTCTTTTCCAGACAGACAAGGCTTATCAGCCGAGAGAGCCTCCTTAAGCTTTCGGTCAAGTAACTTCTCTCCTCTCTCTAGAGTTTTCTTGAAGCGAAGCTCCTCTTGTCTAATCTCCTCAAGGATGCGAGGAGCCTTTGTTTTAACATCTGAATCTATGTAAGTGCTCATCTCTATCACTTTCTCAGCAACAATTGGTAAAAACGCTCCTTTACCATCTCCATGTATCCCAAGAGACTTCCCTTTACGAACAGCTCTTCTTATCAACCTCCTCAGCACATAACCTCTGCCAATATTTGAAGGCAAAACACCATCTGATATCAGATACACAACTGCTCTCATGTGATCTGCAATCACTTTTAAACTCATCTTCGCCTTGTCATCTGCAGAATCATATGAGATGTTTGCCAACTCCAAAACCTTTGCAATGATTGGATACACCAAATCCGTCTCGTAGTTGTTTGGAACCTTTTGAAGAATCTGAGCTATACGTTCCAAACCAAGACCAGTGTCTATGTTCTTCTGCTTCAATGGCTCAAGCAGTCCCTCCTTAGTCTTGTTGTACTGCATGAAAACCAAGTTATAAAACTCAATGAATCTTGAATCATCCCCAAGATCCACCTCATCGCCACACCCTCTCTCAGGGTAAAAGTCATAGTAAAGCTCTGAGCAAGGACCACAAGGGCCAGTTGGTCCACTGGTCCAGAAGTTGTCAGCTTCACCCATTCTCTTGATCCGTTCAACAGGCACACCGACTTCATTCTTCCAGATTTCGAAAGCCTCGTCGTCGTCTTCATAGATGCTGACCCAAACTCTGTTAGCAGGGAGGCCAAACTCTACAGTTGATAGCTCCCATGCCCATCTGATGGCTTCTTTCTTGAAGTAATCACCAAAGCTGAAGTTCCCAAGCATCTCGAAGAAAGTATGGTGCCTAGCTGTTCTTCCAACGTTCTCCAAATCATTTGTGCGTATGCACCTTTGTGAAGTTGTTGCACAAGGAACCTGTCTTGGTACCTGCAGCATTATTTAAAAAGTACCCTTAGACTTCAAATTACGTATAATATTTTTGCATAAACTCGAGAACATCAATCAAATTGAAACAAAACAAAATTCATAAAACATTATTTAAAGTGAAACAGAGGGAGTAGTAATGTTTAATACCTTTCCAAGGAAAACAGGCTTAAACTGAAGCATTCCTGCAATAGTTAGCAAGACGGTGGGATCTTCTGGTACAAGAGAGGCACTTGGAAGCACCTTATGGCCACGAGAGGCATAGAATTCAAGAAAACGTCTCCGTATTGAATCTCCACTGACATCTTTTGACTGATGATGATCTTCACTAGCGTCCTCAGACACAGGCTGTACTGTTACTGAAAACCCACAAAAGTAAAAGATAAAAAATTTATTCCTCCAAAATTGACATTCTAAGAAGAAATGAATCATAAAAATCAATAAGAACGCGCCTTTGGCTATAAGTGGCTTCCCTGCCTGAACCTCAGCACCTGTTTACATATCCAATAATAAAGTCAACATCAGTGCACAGAACAACGATTACTTGTTACTTCACAAGGACAAGCTCATAGTAGAATTAACAGACACCGAACATATACATAAACAAGGTTTTTAACCAAACATACACAAAGCTAAACGAAGTACACATGGTTCAACAGGTTAATAACCAAACATAAACTAAAGTTAATCCCCGAACACACATAAACTAAGCTAATCACAGAACACATGGTTTAACAGATTATGACCAAACATAAACTAAACTAAACACAGAACACATGGTTCAAAAGATTATATAACCAAACATAAACTAAAGCTTAACACATAACACGTGGTCTAACAGGTTATTATCCGAACATAAACTAAAGCTAAACACAGAACACATGGCTCAAAAGGTTATAACAAAAGCTAAACACAACACATGGTTGAACAGGTTATAACCGAACATAAACTAAGCTAAAAGACCATTAGAAGCCAAGGTAAGAACTGTCTTTACCCCGGAATTCCATTTGTTGATGAAGGAGGAAGAGAGATTCGAGAGAGGTGAAGAAGTTTAGGGCTGCTACTTAGAATGTTGTGAAAGAGAGAGAGGTTTTTGGGGTCAATTTATAGTAGGAGGAGGTTTTACAAGTGCCTCCTCTCTTTAGGGTTTTTGCTGAGTCTGCCGCTTTAGGTTAATGCGTAACGCTCGAGAATAATTGGAATATTTTTTGGCTTAAAAATAATAATTGGAATACTAATGTCAAGAATAACACCAAAAGACAAAACAAAGGTTCAGCTAAAGCTACATAAACCTCACTGTAGCTTGTCTTAGTAGGCAGTTTTCATTTTAATAAACAAATAACTAGAGGAAATACATTAGGAAAGCAAAAACAAGGTTCCACAGAATCTAACCTTAGAATTCTGCTTTTGTATCTTATGCTTCTTGAGATTTGTTTTGCTCTCTAAACAAGGTTGTAACACGCTCTTCCCTAATAGAGAGACAGACAAAACAATGTCAAAAACAACATAAAGCATTCAGAATCATTCTATATATATATATATATATATAATTTCTTGAAACCAAATCAAAATGTAAGTGATACTTATGAAAAACCAACAAAATTCTTATATAGAAATGTTTATTTTAGAATGATAAGCCATAACCATATTAACCTATAGATTCTATCATGGTATTGACCTCAATACTTTAACCATCATAACAAATGTTCAACCCAACTAAAGAAACATTACGCTTAGTCAATGTTACGAGTTTTATTAAAGAACCATATTTTTGCCCCCTCTTCATTCTGATAATTGTTCATAGTTATACCTGAATTAAAGGAGACAGGCATTTTGGAAGGTTCATTAGCCCTCTTCTTCTTGTTGCGCTGGTGGCCAATGAAATGCACATATCCTCTCTCCAAGCTGTGGGATAGCTCAAATTCTTTGTCAAAGAGGAGATGATCAAAGTTGATGTGAGGGAAGCTATCTTTAGAGAGTGTTCCAAGGAGGAGTTTCTTGTCATCTATGGTGGCATACAAGTGGCCAGATACTCCCTTTTTCGCCTTACCAAGAGAAGCCTATAAAAATAGAGGAAAGGGAAAAACTGAAGAGACTTGTACAAAGTATAAACTTTAAAATCTTTTATGAGTAATCGAAATTAACCTGAGAGATTTTCACCAGGCTTCACTTTAAGAGTCTTATCGGCTTTAACTTTAGCTCCTGTTTACATTGCAAAAATCATATGCAAAAGAGCATCAACATCGTAAAGTAGAGAGCCTAAAGACATGTCTAAACAGATTGTATCGTTCATACTCATAGGAACACTAATATTAGAAGACAAAGATATAAAACTTTGATGAAGATGAGATAAGACACAGAGTAGAAGTTTGTCTTTACCCCAAAACTCCATTGAGAGATTGGAGAGAAAAAGGGAGTTTAGGGTTTCTCTCCTACGTGGGAAAGAGGACGAAGAGAGTCCGGTCTCCTTATGGGTATATGCCGTTTTGGTTAGTATATACGGCGCCGTTTTTAAGGCTTACAAATATTTTCAAATAATTTACAATCATCCCCTAATTATTTTATTGTTTTCATTTCGACCCTAAAAGTTTAACATTGATATAAAACGCGCCTAGTAGTTATCAATTTTTTATTTTTTTTTATGTTTTCCTGTCCAAGATTGGCCTTGCGTTGCGATTTTGGTTGAATTTTTCTATTACTATAAGATTCCAAAAAACTGTTTTTATGTAATATAAGTGACTAAAAATTGGAAGATACCAAGAATTTGATTCTACCAAACAAAATTCAGTACCAAGTTCCATGGAATCAGTGAGAGATCAAAACATGTCAAGAGATTTCAATTTTGTCTACCATTGGATAGACAACTAAATTATCTAACAAGCATTGATCAAAAAAATATTTATTTTGATAGAGAGATCTTGGAGCATTATATTGATTTTCCTAGAGTTAAGTATCTGAACGTCAATGATGATGTAACTTGAACCGGAATCAAAATAAAAACCAAGAACTGTAACTTAAACCGGAATCAAAATAAGAACCGAAACTAAATGCTTAACCAAGATCCAAGATATAGACAAGTCGGCAAATCCCAAGTGCATGGCTCATTCACACTCACCAACTAACATACTGTGATTGATCTCTATTCTCTATTTCTCCTTACCTACTACCACCCCACTCCACTCTTGATTTCGACATTTGTCTCTCTTCTTTGTTCAACTTTCGCCATTTGTATTTAATTAATCCTTCTGTAATAATATCAACTAACATTATAATGGGGCATATCAATCATCTGTTTGCCATAACTCATAACGAAGGATTCGAAAGTATTTTATCACTGAGACATGATAATTGAAGCTTACACATATCTCTTACTAATTCCAAACCTTAAATTAGTACTAAGAACAAAGACAAGAACAACTTTCTAATGATCTAATGTATTTAGAAAAATAAACATATGATCCTTTTACGGCTAACAGATTTCGGGGGTATGTTGAAGTTCGCTTTCCCACCAAACCCTTTTACCTACGGTGAAATGACGTAGTTATCATATATATCATGGTCAGCATATTTGTCCGACAAAAACTAATATTCAATTAACATATAGTATGAGTGTTATTGGTATTATAACATGAGTGTTTATGGAGTATAATCGGCCGCCATGACATGATTCGCATCATCTATATAGCTATCATGGACCCATTAGTTAAAGGGTTGCGCGATTCCAAAAAAGTAGTATTGGAATCGTGTATATTATTCTGTGATGGAACCGTGATTCATTATATATACATTGGATCGTCACCATCCTGATTATACAAAACGAGCAAGACTATCACGTGCCTTAATTAGTTTTATACTATTGTTTGGGACTACTTTGGGTTTTTATTTCTTGTTCTATTTGGTCGCCAACCACATCCTATTATATAGAATTCATAGAAAAGAGTGTTCATACTAAACTATAAGAAGTTCATGCATATCAATGCTCTGGCTTTGGAAAAAAAAAACAATCGAAGTCCATATTCGTACGTATATGTTTTTAGTGATGACAAAACAAAAAGATGCAGTAGAAAAAATATATATATAGCCAGGTAATTGACATATACCTGACGAATACTCGAATCTATAGAAGCTTGAAATTTACAAGTAGTAATGATTTGTAAATAATATATACATCCATGTATTATCAAGCTAATTAGTGGATATTGACATGGTGTTAAATCATTCAAACAACTTATTATATACGCCCGACTTCTTGGCTAACTCCAAGGGAATTTCCTGAAGATATATAGTTGAGAACTTTATTTAATTATTCAATGAAAGTTCATGGAAGTTGGCATAATACATGACCAGATGAATGTTATACTTTGTTTCAAAGCAAGAAACATCAGAACCGATACTGTGTTCACACGTCAATTAGTTTGACATTTGTAAAGTTTAACAACTTGCTTTCAAAATCATTTTCTAATATAATAACTAGGTTAACTTAGAATCCTGAAAGCCTTTCTTGTTTTGCTGGTTTAGCGTGGGAGTTTCAAACATAGCTTCAAAGACGATTATTAATCATACATGCTAAGCCTTTTCTTACAAATCATGTTACGAATTTATTAAGAAATTCATGCATTCTAAACTATATTTTAACACATACATGTGTCTCAGATTTAATTACTCTCAGTACTTGGGGTACAAATTCCATATACTTGAATATTCCCTTTGGTTTATTACTCCTCTTACTCTATATACTACACAAAACATTCATCTAATTCATCTAATTCCACCTGATACCAAACATTAAAATTCAATAAATAATTATCGCATTTCACTTGAACATATGAGCATCAGCTTACAAAATATTTTTGGTCTGGGGGGTGACGTAGCATAGGAGAAATAAAATATATTATCCTCCCTACTTTCACATTCAAAACGAGTTCTACATTCTACTTTTGTTTCACGTATCTTATAATTCAACAAACATGATAATTTTTGGATCATATGTTAATTATTATAACGTAGACAAAATATACGGTCAAACGTCTTCGCTAGGTAACGTGGACCAAGGCGTCACATCCATTGGGTAACTTCCCAGCACCCTGAGGAATGACGTGTACTCCTGCACCTCCGATAGCGCGTTCTGCGCACGCGTCTCCGCCATCGACGCTTCGAAATCCACATAGAACGTGTACTCAAACTGCTTCGCCGTTCCAACGTTTCCGTCTCCAACGACTCTCACGGGGCAGTTATGGTGCGGCCGCGATTCGATTTTCGTCAAGCTGATATTCCGAAACGCAAACGCGGAAAGCACTTTGAAGAGAACGCTGGTTCCCTCGCGCTCCTGCGCGGCGAAGACGATGCTCGTCTTGAAAGGACGATCGGTGCGAGGGATGATCGGATCGCGCGCGAGCATGAGGAAACGAGTGACGTTTCCGGCGTCGTCTTGGATCCCGTCGGCGAGGATCTGGAGTCCGTAGAGCTCGGCAGCTCTCGCGCTCGCTACAGCGGCCGTATCTTGTAATCCGTTCGTCGCGATGTACTCCGCCGCCGCGGCTGTGTCGTGGAACGCCTCGATCGCGGCTTTGGGAGTGAGTTTGTTGAGCGATCCTTCGGTTTGAGCGAGAGCCTGTGGATGCGAGATCACGCGGCGGATGCGATCGGGACGGACTCCGGGGAGAGCGAGGAGGCAGTGGTGGACGGGGATCTGAACTTCGCCGACGATGTGGAGACGGTGACGGAGGAGGAGGTCGTAGTTTCTGTGGATCGAGCCGCCGAGGGAGTTCTCGACGGGGAGGACGGCGCGATCGGCGATCCAGAGCTCCACCGCCTGAAACGCGACGTCGAACTGGTCGCACGGGATGGCTTCGGAGTTAGGGTAAGCTTTTCCGGCGGCGGCTTCGGAGTACGCGCCGGGAACTCCTTGATACGCTACGCGGAGGGTAGATCCGTGAGACGGCGCGGGGGAGAGATCTGTGTTCGTTAACGGCTGAATCAATCCATGCTTGCCGTTTTTCGAATCCAACGGAACGAGGCTGAGATTAACGGAGCCGTTACTGTCTCCGTTAACGGTAGTTACTTGATCGGCTGAGCTGGCATTTTCAGCGGAAGCCACTTTGCTTGCTAAGATGGCGCATGAGCTTTGCCAATCAGCTCGGCTCGAGCCTATACCATTAGGGAAGCTAAACGATTCAGACCTGTAACTGCAACGAACAGGCACGCGGTTTCTGTTTACGTGAGAGTAACGCGCGTTTTTAGCCGTTGGATTCGTTTGAATCATGGATTTGAGATCACAGGAGAAGGTAGAAGAAACAGCTTGCATGATTCTTGAGTTGAATTATTTGGAGGGAAAAAAAAACTAAAGAACTATAAAACGACTGCGTATTTAAAGTACAGTACAAAGCTAAGCTTGGAGTTCTATTTGTTGATAAGAGAACTTGCAAGCTGAGAGATAATGGTGGAGGAGGGAGAGGTTATATAGTGATAGAGAAGACTAGTAAGTTAGATTTTTTTTCGAAAAGATAGTCTTTGAGGGTGATTCCGTCAAATCATTCACCTACCACATTCGTTTGATTTTTCTCGCCAATATTTTGTTTTTATTATTTTTATATTATATAGTTTTATGAGACAATTAGAAGATGTGTAAATATGTCTTTGTTAGGAAAAATGGTTAGTACCCGGTACGTGTTAACCAGTGGTCGCCTCCAAATTTTTGTTGCTGCTAATTAGGTGTAAAGATCATTCGTAATAAAATAATAAGGTTTAAGATGTGGATAAACGTATGTACGTGTCTGTTTTACTCTTTTGTTTCAGTCGAGTGATGTATGTTATTTTGAGATTTTGTTATGTTTACAAGTTTCTTTTATAGTTATAAATTTGTTTATCCATCACAAGATTACTAACTATGAGAATATTATGGAGGTCGTGTATTAGTATCAAGCAAGTGAACAGCCATGTGGTGGTCATTTAGTGGTTTAAATGTTTACAGATTTTGGTTGAAGTCTTGAAGACAACGATCGAGTTGTTCAAACATGGATCCACTAATAAGTTTATGTTTCTCTATTTGGCCATTGTGAACGATTAGGTACTTAAAGTTCATGGACAAATGTACATGAGTTTAGCACAAGATAATCTGGTTATGGTTTTTTTTTAGAATAACAATAGTACGAGGAAGCATTTAGCATAAGTAGTTATGTTGCTATTCTATACCAAACAAACTATTCTATACCAAAAAAAAAAACTATAACTATTTTTTAAAAACATAATGTTATAAGATATTCAAAAAGATTATAAGGATATACTATGTTAGGTTGCATGGAAACTCTATTCAAGATCTGTTTCTGTTTTGGAAACGTTTCGGAATCGGAATCTATTGGAAACTCGAGGAAACTCTTTGAAAACACGTTTTTTGAAAATTTTATTTTGAAAACACGATGGAAACTTGTGTTTTCGATTTGGAAACTCACGATTCTAATTTAGAAACTCGCGATTCTAATTAGAAATGCAAAAAAATAACTATTTGGCATTTGATTTAATGATTGTATGTTTATTATTTTATATTTTAATATTATCTTTTGATATTTGTTATCATTTTAGTATAATGATTGGATTTGGAATAAAGTCGCTCTATAGTTTTATCGAATGATAACATGTGTTATTTTTCTAGTTATTGATTATAATTTTAATAAAATGATTAAAAAAATACTTATATTGCTTAATTTTTTTCTTAGATAAATCAAACAAAAAAAATAAGCTTACATGTTGATTAATCATATATATATGTGTATATATATATTATTGATCAATTTTTTTTTTTTAAATTCATGTTCCCAGGTTTCGTTTCCACGTATCCGTTTCTGATTTCATGCAACCTAGATACTATGCCCAAGAAGAAGAAAAAATAATAAGTAAGAATGCAGATTTACGTCTACAGTATACGGTTTTGACATTCTGGAATTAGTGGAAAAAATGTACAACGTCACTTCATTGTCGATGAACTCTAGTCACAATCTGTGGATCTGCCACCGTTCTTTAATATTTTTGAGATTTTTCAAATTTAGATATCTTTATAATTACTTTTCAAAGTTTTTATCCTTAATTTCTAGGCTTCACATGATTAATAATGCCTTAAAAGACAAACACACAATAAGTTAATAATTCAAAACACACAAACACACCTAAATGGTAAAAAGTTGTATAATACTTGTTTTTCCTTACAAAGTTAGAATAATAATTAGCATCTGAAATTAGATCAACCCTTATGTGCACCTGTCAAGGAATAGGTGCATGAGTTAGACGACGATCCAACTCGAGCTACCACAGACACAGAAAAAACGTAGCTAGTGGTTTAGCAAAAAAGAAAGCATAGGTAGCGAGACATATTTGTAGGTTTGCATCTAATTTAGTGTTTCTCACATGAAAATGACTAGACATACAAAAAGTATATAGTACCACGATATATTTGTGGATGTAGATTATCTTAATATATGGTCTATACCTCTAACTCTGATAGAATGTGTACTGCACTCACATCCTATATTTAGAATTTCGTAGCAACGAAATATCTAATTAATTAACCTTGTTTACGGATGTTTGATCTTAAACCCCAATGAGATATTGACTTATATGGTACTAGGTTTTGCACACTTTCCTTGATGAATAGAGGTTTAAGATTTTACCATAGTAAGAATGAGTTAAAACAATTTTTATACAGATTTATCCCCAAGTGATTTAAACATTTTTTAGAATCACTAATATTCTAGTTATAGTTGCTTTATGTGTATATACTATATATATACGTCCAAAATTCAAACAAATTTATGTTTCCGTCATAATTAAGCGTTTAACCTGTTATCAGTTTACTCGTTATTCATAGTTACAATCATTTACATGAATATGAAAATGTTAAGTTTTATGTCTAATTTTTTTTGTTGATACTCTTTATTATTATTCTTTTGACACATTCCTAAATATAAAAAAGAAAAAATAGATTCGCAAGAGATAGTCAAAAACTTATTAGGGAGAAATTTCAATTATACCATACATTTTGTACGATTTTTTAAATTTACCATTATTTAATGACTATTTTCATAAATATTTTAGAGTTTGTGATAAAATAACATTAAGCTATTTTTTTAAAATATTGATAGAACATTTATAAATTTAATTTCAATCTCTTAATACTAAACCCTAAATAATAATTACTAAAACTTAAACTCAATATTAGTATAATTTTTGATTGATGATATTTTGAAAAAATAATACGTAATTTATGGTATTTCTAACAATCTCTCTTATTAGAGTGGAGAAAATAAAAGAATCACTATCAACTCCAGTATGACATGATTATGTAAGACTTCTGTCATATATTTATTTGTTGTTTTAGTTTAAGTTACATATGTGTGAATGTGACCTCATGTTTTAAAAGTGACGCCCAGCTTCTATTAATTTCTTGATCATTTTTTTTCTTAAGAAAGAAAACATATATTCATGATTAAAACTAATAAAAAAATAATCAACAAACGATTTTGGGCTTAAAAGTAAATCGATGGAGTTGTTGAAATTTTGTTTATTCATATACATATTTGTGAAGGTTTAATATGGCAAAGTTGGTGAAAACCCAAGTGGGACTAGATTAACATTGTACCTAAGCATGTTGAATTGATTCTTTCTACATTTCTTCCATCTCTTAGAGTCTTGATTAACGTCTAGAAAACTTTAGTAAGTTTTTTTTCAATCATGATGGGTGACTCCTTACTTTTTTTAATAGGATATCTCATTCTAAAATGCCACCAATTAGATTTCTTTTTCATGCCATACCAAAAAGAGACGGAAAGCTTGTCTGAATCCACCAATCATATCAATTTATTATTATCTAAACCCTTTTACGTATATTTCCTAACATTATAGCATATCAATATGATCCGAGAGAACAAAAAGAGAAGTTGGGAATATCAGCTTGAATAACAAAGAATTTTTTTTCGGTTTAACATAAGATACAAATAAATGTGTGTTTCAGCATATCACATGTTGCATATGTAAATCTTGAATATGGAAGAACTAGATACAGTCTATAATATATAATCAACACCGAATCTAAGCGAAACGGCTCACTTTTCTGTAGGCTTTGATTTCAATTAATAATGCTATTCTGAAACCATCAAGCTTTTAGGTTCGGTCTGGTCCGGGTTTAAAATTCAAACCGAACAACAACAACAAAACACTTTTCTCTAAACAATCTATTTCGAACAGAGAACATTTTCTATGTAATATTTTCAAATCACTATTTTTGTTAAAAGTATATATTTTATTCACCGCAGACCAAACCAAACAGAACCAAAGTCAAACCACAGTCCCATTTGGTATATTTTATCCTGACCTAAACGAACCGAAACAAAGCTTGGATTATATTAAAAAATGTGACTCTTGACCCCCTTTTTCTTGTTGACAAAATTGACTTCACATTAAACCAGAAGATGCACGTGATACATGTTCACGTTTGTATCTGAAGATTCTACGTCTTTGCATAATCAAAAAAGTAACAAACAAGTACCAGCCCAGTAAGACGGCGCCTGATGAAGCCTTTTATTTTCAACTATTTTGTATGTTTCTCTTCTTGCTTCTACTAATTTGTCGTCTGTAGTAAAGTTAAAACCCAAAAGATACCAACCATAATTTCCATGTTATTACCAATTTATTGCAAAAGATACCAACCATAATTTCCATGTTATTACCAATTTATTGCAAAAGATACCAACCATAATTTCCATGTTATTACCAATTTATTGCGTCGGATAAACCGATCTTAATGGCTATCTAAATGGTAAAACAGTAAAAACATTTTCAATATATTACTCTATGTAAAAATAACTTAAATATAAAATTAAGTCTTACCTCACGCCTATTTTATTTTAAGATAAAAAGTAAAATACAAAATAAAATAATTTGATTACTCCATTTGTTGAGTAAATTAATTTTTCCAATCTAAGAAACTATGGGTTATACACTTATACCCCAAAACCTTTTTGGTGAAGTGAAAAATATGAAACATCGAACTTATGATTTTTATACCTTGTATTTCATAGAGTAGTACACTATAACTCCATAACGTATACACTGAATTTTCTTATTTTTGGTCCAGCCCTTTATACCAAAAACATTTTTCGCAGTTCGTATATATATACATACTATACAATTTTATGGTTATTGGTTTCAAAGATTTGATATTCATAACCAAACCGGCACCGGTTTATTCTGATAAAAAAAATCGAAATTAACGCGCGAAAAGGAGAGAGGATATCAATTGAAACTCTGCTTCTTATTTCTTCCCAAACAAAAATAAAAATAAAAATAAAAATAAAATAAAATGATATCTCTACCATACACACCCAACCGGTGTCTCCTCCACACATTTAACCGGCCGGTTAACACCCGCCGCCATGACCAACGCAAAGAGAAGACGACGATGTGTTTATCATCATCATCATCACCGAAGACGACGACGAAGAGAGTGGTTCTCGTGAGGCACGGGCAAAGCACGTGGAACGAAGAGGGGAGGATCCAAGGAAGCTCCGACTTCTCCGTCTTGACGAACAAAGGCGAGTCTCAAGCCGACATTTCTCGTCAGATGCTCCTTGAAGATTCCTTCGATGTCTGCTTCACCAGGTTTCTTGGATTTATATTTTCACGTTCTTGAAAATCGATTAAGGGGATTAAAGATTTTTAACTTTTGTTTGTTTTTAGTCCATTGAAGAGATCAAAGAAAACAGCTGAGATCATATGGGGAGATCGAGAAGACGAGATGATATTTGATTATGAGCTCAGAGAGATTGATCTTTACTCTTTTCAAGTTAAGTGTTTAGCTCTTATTAGGACATAAACCAGTTATGTTTTTCTTTTTTTTTTAATACAACCGGAAACACATAATGTAATATTAGTTTCGTTTATGCTTTTTATTTAAACTCTTGTGTTCTGTCTGATTGTTACGGTAGGGTCTACTTAAGAAAGAAGGTAAAGAAAAATTTGGTGAAGCCTTTAGGCAATGGCAAGAAGATCCGGCGAACTTTGTGATAGACGGGCATTATCCTGTAAGAGAGTTATGGTCACGTGCTCGAAGCTGCTGGACACGTGTTCTTGCTCATGAGAGCGAGTCTGTTCTTGTTGTTGCTCATAATGCTGTTAACCAAGCTCTTTTGTCTACAGCTATTGGTGATTACTCTTGCCTTCCTTGGGTAACTATATCGTTTTTCTTTTGTTTCTCTGTTTAAAGTTTTTGGTTTTTGGTTATGTGATAGGTCTGGGAACAGAGTATTTTAGGAGGTTGTTGCAGAGTAATTGCGGTGTAAGTGTATTGGATTTTACACCAAGAGCTGATGGTGGATCTCCTCATGTATGTCTTAATCGGCTGAATCAGGCAAGCTATCACTAATGTTCTTTCTTTCGTTAAAACATATGCCTGGCTTTGATATTCAGGGCCGGTCTCGAGATTTTGGGAGCTATAGACAAAATTTAGTAAGAGTTTATAGATTTTTTTTACAAATTTATGTAAATGTTCTTTAAAATTTTGCGGGCTAGTTGACTTATAATCATCTTAATTAGTTGGAAGTTATGCTTACTTAATTTGTAGTACAAATGCAGACACCTAGTTCCCCTCTAGCTGGTGGAAGTTCTGGTGGGAGGAAAGCTAGTAAGCAGATCATACTTGTCTGCCATGGTCAGAGTGATAATGAGGTAAAAGTTGCATTGCTTAAGCTAATAAATGTGGGGATTTTATGTAGTTATTAACCAAGCAGTCACTTTGATCAACAGGCTAATAGTACTAATGATCAGCCAATGAACATGCTTGGGGTAATACAGGTAACAAACAACATATGACTTTATGGAGAGAAATTGTAAAAAGTAGTTACTCTTTGATCATATGTGTACTTCTTGATTCCTGTAGTCTCAGAAAACAGCAGAGTTTCTTCTAGATCGAAGGGTTACTTCAATAGTTTGTAGCTCCACAACAGCCTCCACTGAGACTGCTGCAGTAATATCCCAGGTAAATTATAAATCCCTCTCTATCCACCTAACTTCAAGTTCTTTTAACAGTTTAAAGAGTTAACAGGTGCAAGAAGCTGCGGTTTCTTTGAGTGTAGATAGTGTACCTCGCTATGTGAATACAAAACAAATGAATGAGCTTGACGTTAACGACATTATTCCCAAATCATCCAATAAGGCAAGATTATATAATCACAATGAGATGTAAAGTAAACACTGGTTTGGTCTTTTCTGATCCTCAAATTCTGCAGGACATCCAACCTGGTTGGATAACTCAGTTGGATGAAGAAACAGTTTCAGCTCTATGGAACAGAACCGGGAAAGCCTGGGAGTCACTCTTAGACGAACTATCGAACGAGGATAACTCAAACACAGGAGATGCAATGGTGGTGGTTGGTTCCCCAATGGCTCACATATCACTCTTAGCACAATGCCTTAACCTCGATAAAAATGGTCTTGGTTTGTTCCACCTAGACGCAGGCAGCATTAGCGTCATAGATTTTCCGGATGGTCCTAGCGAAAGAGGAGTGATCCGTTGCACAAACTACACTGCTCATCTAGGAAGATGGTCTGTCCCCATCACAAGACCTGTCTAAAGAGTGAACAGCTTCTTGTATCTTTGTATCTTCCAAGTTTTAGTCACTTATTATTACATAAAAAACAGGTTTGTCCAAGACATTATGGCAGAATGCAACAAATAATTTACAATTTCTTTTTGAGTGGTCCACAAACTTCGATTTGGCAAGTGGTAGATCGCCATGATAACGCAAGGAGGTCTCTTAAGACATGATCTTCTTCAAGCACATAGCCTCTCCAACGTAGAATGAGTTTCTTGAGGAACACAGAGTTTTCGGCAAAGTACTTTGCTAGTTTCATTCCAACAAGTTCTGCCTTGCAACAACATTTTATCTCTACAAACTCTAGCGATGAAAACAAACACTGAGGCACGGCCCAAGCTGCTATTTGTTCTGTAACGATTGAAGGACGAGTCAAGTCCTACAAAATACATAACATGCAATGAATAATTAAGTTAAAAACTCTATCTAGAATTGCTGCATGTGGGTTCAGGTAATTCGGTTAGAGTAGTTCAGTTCAACATAAATCTTACCGATTTAACCCAAATTAAGTTTGGTTAATCCGGTATTCTCGGTAGTTCGGGTTTTGAAAATCTTACTGAATATTTAGATTTCGGCTTAATTTTGTTAAAATTTTGGTTACATTCGGTTAATTTTGATTAAATTTGGTTAGTTTGGTTTGAAATTTGGTTCAGGGTTTTGGTATGGTTTGGTTATATATATATAAGAAAACCGAAGTAACTGACTGCTGAACCGAACTTCTAACCAAAAAACTTCGTTCGGTCTGGCGGGTTCTGCCGAACCGAACTTCTAACCAAAAAACTTCGTTCGGTCTGGCGGGTTGGGTTCGGTTAAAAATCCCAGCCCTAGGTGCAAGTTATTACCAAGACAATGGAGTTTAGATTCAGGCAGCTTTGAAGAAGCGCTGGCAGCATTTCCACATCTACTAAACAAACTTTTGCTTCCAAACAGCACAAGTTGCAAAACTGAGGCAACGGTTCAACTTTAATGCAGAAATAGATTAACTGCTTACATAAAACCAAAGAAGAAAAGACTAAGAGTGAGCAGAATGTCATTAAATAGCACTTATATTCGTTGTTGAAACATACCTTAATAATAGTCTCAGATATGACCAGATCCTTAACTCTCGAGATACAAGTGAAAAAACTGCGAGCCACTTGCTGATTTGAGTAGCCAACTCCATCAGAATAGTATGACATGTAACGAACACCACCAAGATTAACCTTCACTGATGGACTGATAAAATTGCTTATAATGTGACACTGGGATACATCATCATTGAAGTTCAGATACTTAAGTCTAGGGGAATCAATGAAAAGCTTCAAGATCTCTCTATCGAAATAATGAAACATCATCCGGTTGTCACCAGGTTCAAATCCTAGAGTAAGACTGGTTAGTGTCTGAGAATGAACTCGTAACACCTTTGCATTATCACCATCCCTTCTAACAATGCTCAAATCTTCAAGAACAGGGCAAGAAGAGATAAAGAACTGAAGAAACGCCTCATTGGCATACACGTTTTGTTCTAAACACATAGTCTTGAGACGAGGTAAGGAAACAGACTCAGAACCACATAGTGATACTCTATGGAGTCTTAAGTAAACGAGACTCTCACATGTATAGAGGCTTAAGGGGACCACTTCCAAGAACTCACGCTTCACAAGAATACACTCAACATCAATATGCTGAACTTTACGTTCAGCTACGAAACCTATCCAACGCGTGACACAACTCTGATCATTGTCGTCTTTTCGTATAACAAGCTCGAGCTTGTGTAAGCATGAGTTTTCTTCCCTATACAGATCTAGAGACTTGTTCATAAAACTTACAAATGTATTGTAATCTGGAAAGTCGTGAGAGGCCAAACGCAACGCGGGAACCGAAAGCCAGAGATTTTTCCACCTAGTGGACAGAACACTAGTTCTCACAGCTTCTTTTGTCGGAAGACAGGAGAGTATCTGAGATAACAAAGAGTCTGGTAAATTGCTTATCATATCCCTTAGTTCTTGGCATATTCCTTTCTCTTTCTCTTGTATTTCCTCCATGTAATCTGCAAAAATATGAAGTCTCAAACTCGTAATACAACAGATATGAGAATCTTTATTAATCAAACGATATGAAGTCTCAAAAGAGGTACAAGTCATAGAAGGAGGGAAGAAGTTGAAGTCACCTTGAGGGAGATCCTGTGGCCAGAGAGGGAGATGAAGTCTACGAGGAGACTTTACTCAAATGCAAAATGAGAGAGTGTTCATGACTTTTGGAACACTCATCTGAATGAAACTTGATGACCACAACCATAAATTAAATGTATTCCATTGACTTTTCTGTCTTGATGTTTACTTTTGTGGAACATTACACAAATAAAAATTTCTTACTAAGTTCCAGACTTCCCAGCACAACCAAAAACATATAAGTGTGGCCAAGCTCATTAAGACACGAAAATATAGTTCAACAAGATCAAAACACGAAGTCCAAATCTGTAGGAATGTTACACTACAAGACTTTTTAGCGAACCACAAACTTCGATTTGACATGTGCTAGATCGCCACTGTGATGCAAGGAGGTCTCTTAAGACGGTATCTTCTTCTAGCTTAGAGCGGTTCCAACGCACAATGAGTTTCTTTAGGATTGTAGAGTTTCTTGCAAAGTACTTTGCTAGTTCCATCAAAACAAACTCTGCTTCATATCTGCTTTTTATCTCTACAAACTCTAGCGATGACAACAGACACTGAGGCACGGAGGAGAGTGCTATTGGAAGCGTGTCAACCGAATGAGTTATATCCTACAAAATTACATAAGATGAATGAATAACACAAATGAGGTTAGGAATCTATGTAAAGGGTTGGAGCAAGTCATCACCAAGACGATGGATTTTAGATTTGGGAAGCTTTCAAGAAACGTTGGCAGCATTCTCAAGATGTCCAAGCGTCTTAGACAAACCTCTGCTTCCAAACTGGATAGGTTGCAAAACTGTGGAAACTGTTCTACTTTAAAGTAGGAAGAGATTATCTGTTTACATAGTAGAAAAACAACACACGAATGTGGGTGAGCAGAATGTTGTTACTAGCTTGCGGATTTTGTCTGAACCGAATGAGCCAAACCGAACCAAAATCTTTGGTTTGGTATGATAAGTTTTTGGTTCAATCCGGTTAAAAATAGAAACAACCGAAATTAACTGAAAAAACAAACCGAATTAACCAAACTAACCAAAAATAACCGAAAATAAGCAAAAAATCGAATTTAATCGATCGATTAAGTTCTAACATAAAACCCAAAATTCAGTTATTTTCAGAAATAATATTAAAAACCAAAATTAACCAAAAACCAAACCGATTTTTTCCAAGTTTACTTCGGTGGGATTATGGCCGAATCGAATAAACCGAAACCAAAAATACCCGAACCAAAACAACCGAAACCGAAAGCCTAGTTGTTCCATATATACATACATATTGACTTCATAGAAAGATACCTCCATAGTAAGCTCAGAAATGAACATATCCCTAGCCGTTGAGATACCGTTGAAAAAGTTACTGAAATGAAAATCTACACTAGGGTATACCTCCATAGTAAGCTCATAAATGATGTGGCATTTTTCGTATTTTAACAAAAGTAAAATTGTTGAAAATAAAATAAAATATTGCAGAGTTTTTTAAACTGAAATTCAACGTATTGAATAAAAACTGATGAGGTTCACCAACTCCACAGACTCTGTAGATGGTTTGATGGAGTTCTTTCTAATTAATTTATTTATTTTTATTATTATACCAAATTCATTATAGTTTAATTAAAATTAATTGTGTTTATTTGAATATAATTATATTGTAAGAATTTCGTTTTAAATAGTCTTAAAGAATACGACCAGAGAAATCATAAACTTCCAAGTATCATGAACCGGAAATAAACGAATCAAGCCAAAACACTTAACCAAGCGAATTACATAACCAAAACCGGGGAGAGTTTAAAACGAGATTATAAAAGTAACACGTAGAATAACATCATGAGGTTTTTAAGGTGTTACAAAACGGAAGATTTGACGGCAGCGACGGTGAAATCCATGACCACGATCTTGTCGATAACGGCGGTGAAAGCAGCTGAGAATTCAACGTGAAGAGGATGGCTTGTGAAAGAAACGTAAGCATCTTTGTTCTCAAAAGTCATTGAGAATGCATGAGTGAATCCTTGTCTAAGCATCTCGTGACTCTCTTTATCTTCTCCCCTACATTATCATCACATTGCGTAGGGTCATTTAACTAAAGATCCAAAAATATTATTACAATTCTTGACAAATAAATGAATTACGAACCATTCAAAGGATTTGACAGAATCAATTTGAGAAACAAGATTCTCTAACCCCTTCAAGATCTCATCAACCTTAGCATCTTCCTTAAACTTCACAACTACCAAATGCTTAAACCCTGAAGTTGCCATTAATATTAACTGTCTTTAGCTTCACACACTTACATATACTTGCGTTGATGCATCTTGTTATATAGAGGTGGAGGTTCATATGTAATATGTGCACGTGTGAAAGCGTACGTGTGAATGTACATGTGTGTGTGTCTGTGTGCATGTGTGTGAGCAATAATGCTTTCTCATGTGCTAGATTTCAATGTACAAACTTTTTTTAGATGTACAAACTTCTGACATTGCCTAAAATCTTATTTTTTCAAAAATAATATTATCTGTTGTTGTTTTTTCATTTGTATTTTCCAAATTGGTCTTCCACAACTTGAATGTTTATGTCACCTTAGAAGTTGTATTTCGAACATTTCGTACAAATTTTAGTGTCTGAATAGTTTTCTTGACATTGAATGCGTTTTGTCCAATGTATGTGTTCTCATTCTGATGCACTAGACAAAGTTAACTTATTTAGCTGTGATACATAGCCGTACTAGCTAGGTAGGGATCATTCCCATTTGGGAAATTAAGATGCCCTACAATGTTTACCCACCACAATATATAACTGAAAAGTGAAAAAAACCACACATTTTTGCTTGTTTATAATTGTCTCCATATACATGCATGTACACGATTAACTTTCTATAGGTTTGGTTTTAGAAATACGAATAATATTATAAGAATATGTGTAATTGGTTTTAATTTCCTACCAAAACCTATATCAAACACAAAAGAATGCTTGTTCGATCCTAGATAATTTTACAAAGTAAACTTAACAAAACTATGATCATTTTAAAGCGGATTCAGTTGGTTTGGTAATCTCCCCCATTTACACTTGGATTTGAATACCATATACAATCAATCACTCAACCCTAGTATATAAAAGGTTATTTGATAACCTTTTTTTTTTGGAACAAGATCTGACAGAAATCGAGAATCCAATGTAAATAGAAACATAGTGCATGGAATGGTGTCAGCTCAATGTCTTTTGTGAACCACTTTAGTAAAAAAGTTTGATTTAGCCATACCATTTTGCCATAAACCCGTCTAACCTTTCTTCATCTTCTTGTCAAGTCACATGAAACTTGGACCCATCAATTGTAATTTCGCATTATTCCTTCACAACGATATGATTAAGCAGCATGTGGCCATGCTCGTGAATCATTTCCCATTGAAAATGACATCATATCAACCCCTTGCCTAACATTATTGGTCTCTATTTTAAGAGAAACAAAATGCGGAGGAGATTTCAAGTGGAATGTCTAAGCACATTATTGGTCTCTATTCGAAGAATAACCGTTCAGACGAGAGTTCTTATATATTGTTCGTTCTCGATGAATGCTAATAACAAGGAAAATGAACTGAATAATCCTGGAATTTGGCTCACTAATCAAAAATCCAACTTCAAATTTACCATTCAAGGGTCATAGACTCATAAACAAGAAGTTTGTTAAACGAAAAATCTTTAATGTAAGAAGTACGTAAGAACCTAAAAGCCCAAAATTACAATAGACCCATACAGCAACAAAGCCCACACAGAACACAAACACGTTGGTTTAAGACTACGTACTTAACCATTAAGCCAAATACTTTGTAAAACTTTTCTATTCTGTTTTAACTGAAAATCTGCTTCATACAATGAATGAATTGCATGTAAACTAACGCGTGTAATATGTGTTATTCGGAAATATGATTGTAAATCTTAATCGGATTGGTTATCTATTGGATAGTTTTTGTTATCCATTTAGCTGGTAATACATTTAGAACATCCAAAATGGCCTAGCTGATGCAACATTGCGAGCTAGCAGGATCAGTATTCTTACTGTTCTCTTCTTAGGAATAATCAGGACGTCAGAGATATTCATTTTATTCAAGCATCCAAAGTTAAATATCTTGAATAAAGAGTCCAATAAATGTTTAATTTTAGGATTATGAAATTGAGGAAATTAATGGTTGAAGATGACGTGAAGATAATGACGACATGGAAGCTACGTTCCAACCACTTGGTTTTATATAAGGTTTATTTATCAAAAATATCACCTCAATTATTCGCAATGAAGTCGCATCCACATTTCACATTGATATTGTCAAAAGTTCCGAGAATAAAATAACAGGACTTGACCCAGAGCTTTACTTGACTTGTACATTTGTGACCCCTATTTACATCAGCACTACTATAGTATACCATGAAAATTTCTAATAACAATTATTATAATAATAGTAATAATAAATAAAACATCAATCAAGATCCAATCGGAAAACTGCTTAACCAGCATCAAATACATGTGAGCAATGAGTTTCACAGATCCGATCAAAGTCACAGGCATAAAATATAAATATAATTTTCTAACGGATAAATAACTGAAACATTATCCGCCCGTAGAAGAATTTAAAATTCTTTGATGAATAGTTCAAGAAGCCTAAACGTTTAAACATATAGTTTACCGTAAGAATTCTTTAATTACTTTTATAATTGAACTAATAAAATATAAAATATATTTAAACGTTTATATACTAAAAGACTAAACCTCTAATCTTTTATAATTATTTAAATACTTTTATAATTAAACTAATAAAATATAAAAATCAAGAAATATTTTCTTTTATTAAAAAATCTAACAAAATTTCACAATACTGATTCTCTATGTGATCTAGCATTTTCTTTTGAAATCTGATTATAATATTAAATAATATTACCATTCAGTCAAAAAATATGAAATAATGTTATTAGATCCTTGTAAGAAAATTACAAATACTTCTTTTTAAAATTAAATTTTACAAATACTTCGTTCTTACCATTCTACACTTTCATGAATTAGTACTTCATGACCTGTAAGCCGTTACTGTATAATTGTGTTAGGCTAACCAGAGTAAAACTATATGGAATATCATTGTACAATTTGGAGTGACACCAGTTTAATATAATCTGAATGTATAAGAGATTATTTGCTCACATATCCTTTTTGGACATCTAATTAGGCAAATACACATGATGTGATGTAATTAATTATAGTGACCAAAAGGCCCTTTGTCTCTCTCTCATTTTACTCTCACCACTTTCTCTCTCTCCTGACACTTCATTTCCTAACACACTCTCTTTCATTCGATTTCATTTTTTCCCCATTCTCAAACTCTCCTATTATTTTTCTCTTTGTCATTCTCTCTTCTAAATATTTTTTCACTCATTCAAATATATATATATATATATATATATATATATATATATATATATTTCCTATTTTCACTCATTCAAATATATATATATATATATATATTTATTTCCTATGTGGTTTTGAAGAATAACTTTGATTTTTTATATTTACTCACTGTGATAGGAAAATGAAACATTAACTGTTAACAATTTTTGTAGCTGTTAACAGATGTGTTAGCTGTCAACAAATACATGTATCAGATGTGTTAACAGAGACATTAACTGTTAACAAATTTATTAACAGTTAACACCTCTGGTATATGTATTTGTTAACAGCTAACACATCTATTAACATTTACATTATTTGTTACATATAACATATTTGTTAACAATCGGTGATTTTAAAGATATTGCAATGAAGATTTTCTCAATCTGTGGTGTAATTAAACAAATCAATACTTTATTTCGTGTGTTAATTAGTTTTTAACGAATAAAAATTATTTTGTTTCGTGTGTCAATTAGTTTTTAGTGAATAAAAAAATTTTTGATGAAAAAATATGGAAGAGAAAAGAATATAATAAAAATGGAAAGAGAATGTAAGAGAGGAGAAGAAAGAGAATGTCAGAATAATAATTGCATCACAGAGGAGTTGAGAATGTAAGAAGGACTTTAACGTCCAAACAAAGCATAATTGTATGCAATCTTGTTGTTATGTCCCATCATGGGCAAACCACTAATTAAGGTCTCCATTATGGGTATTTCCCTAATTCTCTCAATGTATAATTTGGACGGGTATGTTGTCTGCGGGTATTTAGTGATTTACTAAACTTAAATATTGTTAACAGGTTATATTCGCAACAGATTTCCTTAACATAAACTATTATTTAGTGGATAATACCATTAGCTAGAAGTCTTTACTTAGTTTATTTAGGAAAAAATACTGTATTGATAACTGGATAATATCATTAGCCAACCAGTGAATTCCACGCCGACTAGTTGATGTAGCTGTTTCTGACGTCATCGTGCTGAAGTCATCACCTTGGATAAAGACAACGTCATGTGTAGCTAACGTCGATGTCCGACGGAAACAGCTGCTTGCCTTCCCTGTCTTTCACACATGACTAACCATTAAGTATTCTAGTACACTAGTGTAAATTGTAATCAAAATGAAAAAATAATAATATAAAACGAAACTATATTTTCTATTACATGACAGATCATTTGCTAAAGTCAACACCGAACTTTCCTTTACCCTCACACAATTGGTGGTTGTTAAACATAAATTTTACTTTTATATAAATATAAATATACACACCTAGTGTATCTAAATGGCTTGATTAGGAATACAAAACTTGGTCCATAATTGGTAAAGTCAATTTGGTTCTAATTGCATACTTATGGTTTTTTTTTTAACACCGCATAAATATGTTTAAACTATAGCAAGTTGTACTTTCTTATTACTTTCTTATCATTATTTTTTTTGTCTCTTTTCCGTCATCTGGTAATGTGTGTGCACCACTTGGCTCTTGCCCTATATATGTATATGATCTCCCTATCCATCAATTATAGCTTAAAAAAGAGACTTTAGAGAACTAAAAACAGCTAAAAAAGCACACTCGATTCTATGAAAATGAATTCCTCCCACGAAAACGCACTAGAATCTATCCTATATGGCCATTGCTGTGCCAAGCGGTTGAAGCTGCGGCTCGACGATCCAATGGCTGAAGACAAATCGACTTCAAACTATGATCTCGCTAAATCGATCGTCCATTGTTTTTCCAGTGCCATCTCAATCTTTTCTGATAAACCAAAACCCGAGGATGATCTATTTTCTGATTTATCTTCAAGGGATTCTCATCCTCCTCCTCCTCGGCAGAGAAGCCACTCCAAGAAAAGGTATAAATAGTTAACATCTATCCTTCAAATGTTTCATTGCTTAAAAAATTAGTTCACAGAAATCTAAATGTTTATTATTTTGTTGAAAATAAAATTTTGATTATAACTCAATGTCATCATATGGATTAATGTGTGAATTGGCTAAGATATGTGATATTTGATGATTTGTATGCTAATTTTCTTATACCACCATATTTTCAGAAAGAATAATGATACAAATTCAAGTGAGAATTGGAGTCGCGATTCATCGGATCCGAACTACTACGACGGGTTTCTTTGGAGGAAATACGGCCAAAAGACTATTAAAAAATCTAAACACCAAAGGTAATAACATAAATAGTCCAATCATCAATCATATTTGTTTAGTTAATTGTAATCAATTTTTATTCCGATCACTGATACTAATTGGTGTATGCATTAATGATATTACAGGAGCTACTATAGATGTTCATACAACATAGATCATGCCTGTGGAGCAAGAAAGCATGAACAGAAGATCAAAGACAATCCTGCGGTTTACCGAACCACTTACTTTGGCCACCACACTTGCAATATCAACTATAACCAAGATGCCGGTTTTACTACCCTTGGAGATCCGGTTAATGATTTGGAAAATAGCCGGATGATTCGATTCGGAAATGACCTTGATCAAGAGAAGGAAAGCTACAAGAGCGGCTTTTCTTTATCTGTAAAGCATGAAGATAATATCATCAAAGAGGAAACCATGGATCAGTACCGTGGGATAACTTATAGTGATGATAAAGATTGTCAAAATGTGATGGAAAATACTCATCAATTATCACCATCAGGTTCTTATACTTCTCCGTCGTCATCTGGCAGTGAAATTGACATGTTTGATGCAAATCTGCTAGCGGAAGGCTTAGATTTATTGGATCGTTATGATATTTATGACTTTGAGCTGCCTTAGATTTTTTCAGCTAAAAATGTAAAAGAATTTCTTTTTTTTTTACGAGAATAATTGAGAATTGCGAGCATTTATGTATTGAATAGTTTCTGTTGAGCATAAGTAGAATATTTGAAGCAGTTTTGTAACAAAATTATTTACTAGAGAAAAATGTAATAGTAAGAACGTTGGGTTATGAAATCATTGGAACTTTTTTCGTCTTATCCGCAGTATTTTCTTTGACCGCTTTGTTTGATTGAAAGAGACTTTGGGCATGTCATTGATCCTTTATAAGGCCTTTATCAGAAAGAAAAAAATGTCATGATCCTTTATTCCTTTTTCAAGTGATCATATATATTTTCTTTGGAAAGATGCTCTCTAGATCCAACGTTTATCCCTTTGCGTATTTTCTACTTCTGCATACGTAAAGGGATTTAGAAATTAGATATATAGCAACTTGGCTAAGTAGAAAAACAAATTTTATCCTAAAGGAAAAAAGAGTGATGTAACGTGAGTTGTTCATTTCATTTTTATTTACAAATGCAAATAAGATTCTTCTATAGATCTGCAACTTACGGCTCTTTTATGTGGTATTTTCTTAAAAAAACTTTTTGAAAGGAAGTATTTGCTGAGATTTGTAACTAGGTTTCTCTTGTTTTCTTAAAAATGCGCAAACGGAGGAGACCGGTGGAGACATAAGTGGTACTAGATGATAACCCGCCCTATTGGGCGGGTCTTTGTTTTTATGGTATATATAACATTTGAAAATTACAATTTAATGGTTCCAAATTTAGTAAGTAATAGTCTACTGTTTAAACATTGTATTTTATCATTGTATTGTATAACATGGGTGCCGTAAAATATTGTGACCCGTAAACATTTTAGTAATAGTTTATAAAGTTTTTTTTTTGGCTAAATTTGGTGCAAATTTATATACAATAATTAATGTAGTCAAATTTTTAAGTTAATTTTTTAATAAAGAATTGGAAGGCTAGTATATCACTGTTAAAAAATTATAACAGTAGTCAATATAAATTATATAAATAAAATTTATATTATTCTTGATTTGTTCTAAATACATTTAAAACATGAATACATATATGTATAAATAATTTTCAAAAGTAAAATAATATCAATGATAGAAAACCCAAAAACAATAATAATAGTACATTGGGCCACAATAATCTTTAGTTTAATAAATAAGTCCATTAGATTTGTAGACTATCCTTATTTCCAATCATCATAATTTTAAATATTTCCTATTCATGTTTCCAAACACATAAATTTTTGTACTTCAGCTTTAATAGTATAGATGGTGAAGCTCTAGTTACTTAGAAAAGACAAAGGTTGATCAAAAGTTAGTCACGTCCACTTCATGTCTGTCGGCCCAGCAAAGCTCGTCTTCAAATTAGATTATAATATTATATGATTGCAAACTATGACACCATCTGCCTATCTGCGTAGATATGTGAAGTTATACACAAATGAATTAGAGTATTATACAGGCCTACATATATAGTACTGTCGAGAAAATCGTTCCACTAATTTTAAGAATGAACCAGTTCAATAGATAAAATTTGGCCTACTAGGTACTGACACCGGTTCAGGTAGACGTAGTTCAATTTGCTTGGCAAGAATCAAACAACACAACCAACTGGTAATACAAACAGTGTCAATCTTGGAAGAGAGCTAGAGACTACGGGTTAAACAATGTGACATTTTACTAGTGTACCAAGATTTAAGTCATTTGTAGAATCGACAATAGTTTTCTTATAAACAAAGAGAGTTATGAGTGTTCCTCAGTGAGAGAAGGATTCTCGAGAACTATTTTGGAAGAGCTTTGGTAAATACATTGTAAAGACTATATATTCTTCATCCTTAAACATATAAATTTCATTACTAACTCAAGAATAGTTAAATATGTAATCAGCCACATAAAAGCAGGGATCAGTGGACCAAGACAAGACTATATAATCCGGCAAATATAACAAATCGATTACAAGCCTTTGATTCATTAGATGCGGCTTGATTAAAGACACATGTCATCAACGATTAGGGTTTTGACTCTCTTGCTTATGTATAACACAATACCATTGCGATTGTAAAACGTGTAAACAGAAACGATATAAGGAAATCTAATCTTCTTGATCTTGACCATAGTTTCTTTGAGATCCACTTCTGCTTTCAATTACTAACACAAACGTGTGACAAAAGTAAACGTAGTGGAAACTTAAGGTAGTTTTTAGTTCGTCTTAGAATTCAGTTGGCGGGAATGGTAAGAGTCCACAAAGCCAAGAAATACTAGTTTATGTGGTTGGACCACAAGTTTGTGGTCTCGATTGCTTGAAACGCATTTCTTGTTATTTTCTTTCTAAAAAACAAATATATTTTTTTTTGTGGAATTATTCATCAAATACTTTTGAAAAATGCAAACCAAGTGCTTAATAGATATAAGGATGTGGGTTTATTTAGAAAAAAAAATACGCACTATATTATAAATGCAAATCAAGGCCTATGAGCACTGAAAGCTTATTCCAAAGATAAAAAAAATGAAAACTATCTGCAGAAGCCGCTTCCTTCTTCTCTTCTTTTTTTTTGGGGAATTAGGCTGTATAGCAAGAGAAAAAAAATTAATTGGGCCACTAGCTATAAACCCTAACGGACACCATCACACCGTTACTTTTATACATTATTCCTATATTCTCCTTTATTTTCACCGCTTTCACCGGATGAAAAAAGTCGTCATTTATTATATTGATTTCGCCTTTAACTTCGTGTCTTATCCCCACTCCACCAATTCTTTCACGCTTCCCAGTAACTTCTCTCTGTCGAACTGTCTCCCACAAAACCCTCTCTTACTCTTTACAAACCACGACTTTCTCTTTACAAATCGGCTTCTTCTCTGCCAAATTCATCTGTTGAACAAGCGAACGATTGCTCGATCTTTGTACTCGGCACAAGCGACCGCTTGCTCGATCTTCTCCGTCGTCCTGCGCACCGTCTCCATCTCCGTCATCTCTGTCGTCCTGCGCACCTTCTCCATCTCCTCCGATACTTCAATTGAAAGCTTCCTCGATCTCCACTCCGAATCCCCAAAAATGTAAGTTCTCTCTTTCTTCGGTTCACTATCCTCTTATTGTCAAATCTATTTGTAGTTTCTATTGTGAATTACTGTGTTGTGGTATTTTTGAATCTAAAGTCATCCTACTAACTTTGCTGATCTGTTACTCATATGCCGTCTCAATTTTAAACGGAATGGAATAGAATTCATAAATTTCCATACTTTTTGCGATTTCCTCTGTTGTTAATAGATCGTATGCTTCGAACAAGCTGTAAGTTCTCGGTGTTTTTTTTACTTTGATCTATTAGGAACATAAGTTATTTTTGTTTGGACATAGCATACGATCTATTAGGAATATTCAGTTTCAGATGGAATAGCATGATCTGCAACGTATGTACTTTAGAATTTTTATCAATAATTTGTTAGGCCTATTCTACTCAAAATGGAACAACACATGGGTTTCTCTTCTTTAGACATCGACTGAGCTCTATTAAAAAATTCTATATGAGATGGAATAGAATAAATTTTAGATTCATACGATTCTATGTGAAATGGAATAGCATGCGAAGAACGTATGTATTTTATAATTCCTTATCAACAATTTTGATGTTTACCATAAAAATTCCCTTCCTACATACAATATAATAGATTTCTTCACTAATTGTATAGCTTATCTCTACTAAGTATTTTTTTCATATTTTTTTGATTATGTTAGGTCTGACATGGACGAGTTGGACCTTCCAAGTAGATTGTTCGCGACAGGGAGTGAACCCACTGGAAAGAAAAGGGTTAACAGACAATCCAACCTCCGCTAAATTGAGATGATTAAGAACACATTAGAGGGTTCATTTTTGTTCATTTTTGTTCATTTTTATTTCATATTCTCTTGTTATGAGTTATGTATCAGCGTGTATATGTATTTTATATTAGTGTGTATATGATTTTGTAAAGATAAATTATATATTGAATGTAAATGGAATAGAAGTTATTAGGACATCAAATAAAATAGTATATAATATCATATTGAATGAGAATGATATTCATTCAGAGTTTGGGTTAGTTTATTAAAGATTGGGGTTGATATTGGGTTAGGGTTTATATTTTCATTTAGGGTTTAGCTATTAGGGGTTTGGATTTAGTTTATAGAAGATTGGGGTTGATATTGGATCATGTAGGTTTTAGTCATTAGTGATTCGGGTTTAGTTTATAGAAGATTGGGGTTGACATTATTTCCTTTCCCTCCAATTATAGATATTTTAAATTTTGAACGATATATTCTATGTTATATCGTTCAAAATTTAAAATATCTATAATTGCAGGGAAAGGAAATAATGTCAACCCCAATCTTCTATAAACTAAATCCGAATCACTAATGACTAAAACCTACATGATCCAATATCAACCCCAATCTTCTATAAACTAAATCCAAACCCCTAATAGCTAAACCCTAAATGGAAATATAAACCCTTTGTTCTGTATGCTCATATAGAATAGAAATACACCTTATGTACGATTGTAGTTAACATAAGAAAGGGGTTAAACGGCAATGGATTGGGGTTAATATTTTTTTTATTTTTGTTTAGTGATTAGCATCCATAACATTTTAAATGACAATTTATGGGGTTTTAATTTCCCTAACTTATGTTCATTGTTTAGTTGTGTAAACAAAAGAAAGGTGTTAATCGCCAATGGATCGGGGTTTATATTTTCCTAATTTTTGTTTAGTGATTAGCGTCCATAACATTTTAAATGCAAATTATGGGGTTTATATTTCTCTAATTTATGTTTATTGATTGTGGTTTACATTTCTCTACCTTTTGTTTAATGGGGTAAACAAAAGAAAAGATTAACATAAGAAAGGGATTAAACGGCAATGGATTGGGGTTTATATTTTCTTAATTTTTTTTTAGTGATTAGCGTCCATAACATTTTAAATGACAATTTATGGGGTTTATATTTCCCTAACTTATGTTTATTGTTTAGTTGTGTCAACAAAAGAAAGGTGTTAATCGTCAATGGATTGGGGTTTACATTTTCCTAATTTTTGTTTAGTGATTAGCGTCCATAACATTTTAAATGCCAAATTATGGGGTTAACATTTTAACGTTTATATTTTCCTACCTTTTGTTAAGTGGTGAAAACACAAAGAAAGGCGTTAATCGCCAATAGATTAGGATTTATATTTTCTTAATAGAAAACGGAATGGAACATATCAATAGGTAAAGGACATGGAATGGATGACCTAGGTAGAATGGAACAGAAATAGGTTAACGGAATGGAATGGATGACCTAGGTAGAATGGAATATAAATAGAACGTCGAGTTGCATATATATGTGGTTAGTAAGTGTATACGTGGTTAGTATTTTTTTTTTTAAGTGCAATAGGTTTCAGGTGTTTTTGACCGTATGTTTTATCAACCACGTTGCTTTCTCTCTCATTTACCTAGTACCTACAAAGAAAAAGGATAGAACCGGATGTTTTGTGGCACAAATGTTAAAAATTATATTATGTCAAAATCAATAACATCTACTTAATTTTGACTCCAAATATGGCTATTGAGCAAATAAGCCCTTTTTTTTTTTGAATGAATAACTTGATCGGCTGAGCTGGCATTTTCAGCGGAAGCTACTTTGCTAGCTAAGATGGCGCATGAGCTCTGCCAATCAGCTCGGCTCGAGCCAATTTCTTCTCTTCTTTACTGCCCCGTTGTAGTAGTCGTTGTATCTCCTCCCAAAACAAACGTTTTTACTTTGTTGAAATCTTCTTTTTTTGGATAAAGAAGATATTGCTGTTCGATGTACCTTGTAACTGAAGAATATCTTCATATATTCCTACCGGATTATGCAATTCCGTCAACTCAGTCTCCGTCGCAGGCTCGTGTTGTTTGTTATTCTGCTTCTTCCTAAAGCATATGTTTTTGACAAACCAAAAAACAAAAAAACATAACATGTAAAAACATATGTTTTTCAGAAAGCTCATAAATCCTGTTGACATTGTCTTTACGGGTGTAGATAAATTGCTACTTAAGTATAGTATATAGACAGAAAACGAACTGTATTCCTGAAGATGCTTAATCTTCAGTAAGATGTGAAATTACTTAAGTTTTAGCAGCGTATTATAAGCGTGGGGGCTGGTATTACTTTATATTTAAAACGTGACTTGCCTAAGATCGAGCAGAGTTGGCTCCACGTAATTTCCTTTGTCCTTTTTATAGAGTCGAGTCATTAGGAAAGAACCTACGTACTAGTAGGTGCTACGACCTCACCGGGGATCGGTAGATGCGTAACACACTCGAAAACGTCAAAACGCGATCGAGAAAAAAAAAAGAAGCAGACATGATTACACAAGTTCAGATGTTTTTATACACCAAAAAAACAAGTCAGATGTACCGATGTGATTGACTATCGAATCAAACTAATCATCACAACTTGAATAATTTAAGTATTATATAATTCATAGCATAGAAAAAAACAGGATAAATCAACTATGTCTACAAACCGAGTAGCTCCTCGACAACATAGCATCAAACCAGTTTTAAACTTCAGAGTTGACTCCATGCAGCTTCTTCTATTCTACCACACACTTGTTAGGAAATTACCAGAAAAAGAATAATACTTAAAGAAGAAAGATCTTAAAGTTTATAAAAGTATAACTTATGTTCCTTTGCCACCCTACGTGGAAACTTGTCAACGTTTTTCAAGTGCGAATTTCACAAAGCGAGTGATACAGTGTTCCTCAGCGAAAAAATGATCCTCAAGAACTATCCTGAAACAACGGATGAAGTGTCTAAAAACACTATTGGTTCTCCATCTTTTAACATATACTAAGATTTAAGTCATATCTAGAATTAATAATAGATAATTTCATTACTATAATTCTGGCATGTAGAAACATGTAACCAGGTACAAAAAATCAGGGATCCGTGGATCAAGACAAGACTATAATCGAGCAAGAAAGCAGTCTACTGTCTGCAAATTTAAATTTTAAACATGATGGACATTACTTCTCACCTTCCTCAAGTTCTCCATACAAACCGGCCTTAGTGGAGAGATATTCAGGTGCAATGTATCCCAATGTTCCTATGATGTTTGTCTTCCTGTCGGGGCTTTGCTTCTTCATCATCTTTTAGTACTAATTTCTCAACCACATCCTCAGCTTTCACATGTTTGTTTTGGTTCTTACTATGCTTCTTCCTGAAACATATGAATATATGATGTTGAAACAACTTAGACGTCCTTTAGACATTTTTCTTAATTTAGAAGAGTACTACTTGTCGAATGTAGACGTAAGTTTTACAGAGACAAAGATAAGGATCTTGAAGATGTTTATAGATCTTCAATATGAGGAAAGCAGAAATGAATGGTATTATTGTAACGTGAAAGCTTGTTCTTTGACTTTTTGAGAGTTGCCAGTGTAAACGGAGAGTTGATTCAGTCCAATTATAAAACTAAGAGCAGACAATAAGATAAGTAATATTATGTTTTGGTACTGTTGTAAAGTTTCATCAAAGCTTATTTCTTTCTTTTTGGTGCTGAAATTTGAACATTTTTCATAAATGATGAACATGGTTTTGTGTTTTGGATAAAACAAGTGATTTTTTTTCCTTTTTATTGTTTATTTTTGATTAAAATTTATGATCTATTAATTGATATATAACACTCAGTTCACCTAATGTCTTGCTCAGTAGCTCCAATCTGTTCCAACTTCATCAAGAGATTGAAAACTGAGCATTTTCGAATTTCCATTTTAAGGCAAATTTCCATCACGAATTAAACTACAAATCACGGACGGCAGGCTAATTAAACTGCTATGTTTATTGATATAATAAGATTACTGATCTAATGTCTCGCAAACTTTTACTACACCACAAGAAATGGTAAGAAATAATCTATAAAATGCAAACGAAGTGTATTATAGATATATGGTCCATATATATAATATGGATGTGGATTTATTTAGACAAAAAGTACGCATTAATAATAAACTCCATAATAAACGCAAACGCAGATAAATATCACAGTGGTGTCGTAGTGGTAGTCGTTGTCCCTCCTCCCAAAACAAACGTTTTTATTTTGTTAAAGGATTCTGTCCACGAAGAAGATTTGTTTTCCACTCTACCAGCTTGTAAAATATAACGTTGTTTTGTTGGTTCGTTTTGTTTCTTACTCTTCTTCTTCCGCACGCATATGTTTTTGAAAAACCAGAAAAGAGAGAAGATAAATTTCAAACATAACAAATAAAAGCATATGTTTATGAGAAAACTCATAAACCCTGTCGACATCCTCTACGATCGAGGTGTAGATAAATTGCTTGCCCAGCTTAAGTAAAGTTATTTAGAGAGAAAATGTATTGTGTTCTTGAAGATGTTTTCGTTGATGTTCAATATGATGGGATATTACTGAAGTTTTAGTAGCTTATTATAAGCGTATGGCTGGTATTATACTTTATATTTAAAACATGACTTGACTAACCGCAGAGTTGGCTCCACCTAGTTTCTTTTGTCCTTTTTGCCAGCATCGAATTGCTAGGAAAGTACGGACTTAATTAGTAGGTCTTACGTCTTAATTTCACGCCAAGACTCTAGTCAACCTCACTGTAGATTGATAGATGCCGAACACTTGAAACACGTCAAGAAGAGATCTAGAAGAAAAAAAAAGTTAAGCGGGAAAAAGAAGAAGACATGATTACACAAGTTCAAAGTTATTGATCAATCCTAAAACTTGAGGATCCATATATATATGATGAAAAGCACAAAAATCAAACAACCAACTGTCTTCAATATATTAACCGCTTGTTGTATGAAAAGCTCACAAATCTTTTCTCTAAATGAGCAGCATTCAGTAGAACGATACAAAATTGTTGTGTAAATAGTCTCTTGGAAACTTGCATAAAAGAGAATGATGTATTGACATCCCTTTTATAATATACAAGTGTTTTGATCAAGTGGTGAGTACTTTGGTTTGGTTGCACTGGTCTAAGAAGTTAAACTTAAACCAGAATTTAATACCTTAGAAACATATAGCCCACATGTGTTTCGTCTATCGAACTTAATTCAACTGACAAGGCTATGATTTGCCTTCTATGACATTAGCTGGCTCAGACATGTGGACGTGTTTGCCCTAGGCTTCTAGCTATTTTTGTGGTAAATATATAGACTTAAATATGGTTCACATTTGTTGAAATGACAAGATAAATTCGATAGCCAGTTGACACGAAATAGGTAGCACAGTGAGTATTGTTTGTCATTATTTTCTTTGCAGGCAGAGACTCAAGAGTACTATTGAAATTTATATGCAAGAGTTAACGTTTTCATCTTTTAAAACTGAATACAGATTTTATCTTGTACTCCATCCATGTTTAAAATAGATTTTATGTTCCGATTTTGTTTACTGGTAAGGGGACTGGAGCTGTTATGTGAGAAAATATGGTCAAGAAAAGAAGACATCTAACACAACTGAATATCATATTCACAATTTGATTCAAAGTCTCATTCCTTTGTGGACTAGATCATTAATTAACACTCGCAAGCCAATGAAAGTTGCATATTTGTAGATGCCATTAAAAGTTCATGAAACAAGGAAATAGAATTCAGTTATAATGAATAACATTATCATAATCTTTTATGATGCGTTGATATAATATAATGATATCACACACGGGATTTCAATTCGTTTCAGTACTTCACAATAGGATTTACTAGTATACAAGCACATAATTACTTATATATAGTACAATAATATTTATTGTTTAAGAACATGGGTGATGAGGCCAGGAATGTGTGTGTTTGCCATATAATCGTCCCAGTTAATGGACTTGGGGTCGAACTCGAACGATCCATCCAACTCTTTGATGCTCTCCTTTCTTCTCCTTCGCAGTCTTTCGGTATTTAAATCATCAAATCTGCATAAACACAAAAATATATAACGTCAACACTCTGTGATGGTGACATAAATATATGATAAGAACTCATTTATAGTATAGTAATTAAGGGATGTTTGTTCTCTGTCCTTAATCTTAGTTTGCTTGTTTTTTGACTAATCCTTAATCTTAAGTTTGACATAAGTTTATGAGTACTAATACATACATGCCCTTGAAGAGTAAGTAAGGCTGGTAAAGCTCAACGAGACGCATAGCTAGCTTGATTTTGCGGCTATCTTCATCGTATTTATCTCCTTGACTCCATGGGTAAATTATACTAATCAACCGAAGTATCTGAATTGAAAAAGAACAAAAAACACTAACAAATGAGAAACAAGCCTCATGTAAAAAAATCATAGTTGAATAAAACCGTTTGTAAAAGTACCAGTAGAGGAATCTTGTAACGAAGAGTGATGTAGAGGCTGAATTGACCCATAGTGGTTAAAAGTGTTCCTTTAGATACTTTGATTGGTAAACCATTGCGAGCAACAAGAGGCTTCTTTGTAAAGTAACGAGTCGTGGTCTCTCGGAGTTGTCCAAACGTGACCGGATTCTGCAAAGAAGAACCGATATGATATATGGTCTGGACCCCTGTTTCTCCTGAATGAGCTGTCGCGGCGGCTATCATGGCGTTGACTACCATGTCTGCTGGTATCTGCAACATTGATATTGTAATTTTCCATTCCATAAATTCATGATAAGAGGATTATATGTACTTAACCTAATTTATTTAATATTTTTTATATAACTAATAAAATATAATTGTTATTTAATATTTTGTATGAGCTGATCTTGGTGTTGGCTTATGATTAGTCTTGTGGTACAAAGACTTTAATGGGATGATTTGGATTGGACTTACAAGGTCAAAGACTGTGTTTGGATCTGCAAGAAAACATTGAAGCCTTCCTTTGCCGTATGCAACAATCACACTATCTATAGTTCTGCACATACAGAAAAATAGATTATATATGAATATTCAGTTAACACAATATTATAACTTGTGATAAACTTATGAGAAGAAAATAACTGTAATTTTTTTTATCTATCAGTGTACTCACCTCAATCCTTCAATCCAACCAGGAAATGGTTCGGCGAGAGTACTAGTAATCATTGTTGGACGTACGATAACAAGTGGCAAATTTTCTCTATAGTTTCCCATTAGCATCTCTCCCATTGCTTTGGTGAATACATATGTATTTGGCCATCCATGAAGCTTTGCCCTATATAAATATTGTTTAATTCAGAAATTAATAGATGACCAAAGCAAAGTATAAGAGCATATAGGTTATGATTAGGTTGCTAATTAACCTTGCCATTCCAAGATCTTTCATCGACTGTGAGATCTCTTGTTCAGAACAATCTTGATGCTGGAGCTCTTTCATTTTCTGTTTCATCAGCTCGAATTCTACATTGATGTCTAATTTGGTATTTCCGCTGAGAGTCTCCCCCATCGTGAATGGTTTCTCTTGGAACAATCCCGAGTTTTCGCCGCAAACATATGCTACAAAAATGAAAATATATGTAAGCCACGGTTGGTAGTAGCTGGTACATTTATGGTGGGTTTTGTATGAGAACAACATAACTCACCGGTTGAGACATGGAGAAGCAATTGCCCTTTAACACACTTTTTGGCGAAGTTGAGAACATTGAGAGCTCCGAATGTATTGATGCTAAGACCGATGTCATATCTATGATTTTTATTAAAAACATAAAACGAATATAAAATTTTTTTTTTTTTGGTCAACTAAAAAACGAATATAAATTTAAGTACTCTTTTTTTGTCAAGAACTACAAGTTAGAAAAGGTATATATATATTTAGTAATACCTTTCATCAAAATTTGTGGTGGCTGCGATATTGATAATGATATCAGTCTCACTCCACATACGTTGTAAGAGATCAGAGTCTTTCACTCCCAGATTATGGATGGATATATCACCGGGAACAGGCACGACTTTTTCACAAACCAAGTCATTCAGATTTTCTTCACCAAGATCGTTCCTCAACACCTTAAAAAGGTCTATCTCCAGAACCTGTTTGTATCATTCGGAAATATTAATTATTTGTTTAAAAGACCACCTCTATATATGTCATTCATTTAAAGAAGTGTTTTGGTTTATGGGTTTGAATTTATGCTATACCTCACTACGTAACCGTTGCATGGCTGCTTTAGTGTCGGCAGCTCTCAACAGAAGGTACATCTTC